CCTGAAGGATCCGACATTTAAAGAGCTTAGCTCGTCGCCGGACGTCAGCCTTGATGATCTCCCTGACAATAAGATCGGGATTCGCCTGAACCAACTTCTCAACACATATTTGATGCTCAGTCAACAAGAGCTGCAGATAACTAGCAGTACTCTGGGCCAGACGGCAAGCTTCGAACCGAACATCACGATCTCGTCAGAAGTCAGTAACCTAGTCGAAGTGTTCCAAGTGTCGGCCTTGTGGATTGGGTTTTGCCTCGTTTCGTGTCTCATTCTTCTGGCGTGTGGCATTTTAAGCGTCGTATTCACACACTTGGCGCATGGCCCTGAAGTTCTGGGATACGTCTCCACCTTGGTACGTGACTCGAAGTTTATGGACTTGCTCATGAATACCAGCTGGATGGATGGCACGGAGCTCACAAAGGAGCTGAGATCACAGCGTATCAGATACGGATACACGCATCATACTATGGGCGGAGAACCATTGATGGGTGTCGGTTATCAAGCAGATACGGAGCAGATTAAGGATTTCATCGCTCGTTATCAGGATAAGTAGATGACCAAACCTTTCAAATGATTCTTGTCAAGGATCCCTGTTCAATTAAAAGAAAGTTTATCTCTGTAATGTTGTTATGTCGCTCAGGTGTAGCCAGATCACCCGCCGTCTTAAGGAGGTATAGGAAGCACTTCATTGAGGCTGTCGGTGTTGCATTTGCTCCTGATCTTTGATGGGTTTTCGGCAGGTCACAAGTGAAAACAGCTCGTGGACATTAGTTTCAGAGTTTTTTCCCTGCGTTAGTACCACGTCATTTCATACACACTGAAGAGCCAGCTTTGTTCAGGACGCGCGTGTGTGTGTGTGTGTGTGTGTGTGTAAATCTAAGCAGGTTCAGGCAGAGTGTGGCATCAGCTCGTACAGATGAGACCCACATGCCTAGCCTGAGATAACACAGCATTCGGATGCGAACCATGTGAAAACACATGATAGCTGCCGTTCTGTTGGTGGCCTTTCCCCTCTACTCAAAAAGCAGCGAGAACTTAAGCCTGCTTGGTGGGCCCAATCATGCGACTTGTCCCTGATGTCGCCGTCGGCGCTGTGTGGCATTTGCGCTCCGACCAGCAGTTCGGGTGGAGGTGCACATCAACTCTGTGCAACTATGATGTGTCGTGTGACCACTGGCAGCTGACCAGTACCCAATTGGTCAAATGGCGGGCTGTAATCAGTCTTTCAGTCTTTATGTGGGCAGATACTAGCTGCAATTGAGGAGGTTTCATTTCATCACAAGTGTGCACGGATCCGCGACTCTATCCTATTCGTTCCTGCGGAGATGCCGGGTCTCGTTCTTGCCGCTCCGGGTAGACCATTTCGGCGCTGGCCGTCTGCGCGTCAGGAACTCACCTCTGACTGTCAATCACTCATAAGACAAGTTTAAATGAGGCCCAGAACCCTGTATATATAGTTGAAACTAGGTTATGCATGTTGGAACTCGATCTCGCTCTCGGTTCGGAGCTCTGAACAACATGTTATCTCGACTTTGTGAAGGGAAGAAATGCCATGCATTACTTTTTTCCGAAAAAAAACAATGAAGCCTCAAATTCGTAAACTACCCGAATGCAACGCGGTTGTGGACACTTGATTGATGTAGGGCTGGAACTACGACGGTCCATCGCAGGCGATAGGCAGACAAACTTTGCGAGCGAAGCGAGCGGGGGAATCCCCTGGGTGGACATTTGGGGTTGTATATGCGTTGCCGCTTAGGCGAGTGTTACTTGTTAGAGACAGGGAGACTGAGTCGGGAGATGATCGCACGAACCCTCAGCCAGGTGGCTATGGTTGTGGGGAAGGGGTTCACAGAGAAGGATGAGCCCCGGACTGCGCAAGTCCATCATCGCAGTGGCTGCTACTGCAGTAAGAATGGGAATACCATCTCGTTCAGCTCGTTGCCTTGTGCGCATGACTTCGCAGCTCCCAGATAGGAATGTATTCGGCGGGTGTGCCTCGAATCTGAGCTATATCGACATGACTTCATCACATTCGCGCCTGGTCCCCTAATTAGTTACCATTATCCCTTGGAGCACTCTACTAGGTTTACTTACAATTGCTGTAGATATGGCAACATTTCTTGTGTGTGCCTAAGCCTTATCTTCGGTTTCACTCCCTTCCCTTTAAGCTCCCCTTGAAGGATGATCCCTGTAGAAACTTCGGGGTTGCCGGTGGGAGCTTCTCGTTGGTTGGTCGTTAGCCATGTTCAACAATAACAGCATGGTATATAGCGAATGATGATAGTGTTCATCTCAGGTGGTGGTATTATCCGCATAGTAAATGTTGCGTGTGAGTCAGGGCGCAAGTCAGCGTCTCTGTCTTTATGTCCGCCTAGAATGAGGTGCGTTGCGCGTGAGTCAGGGCACCTGTCAGCCTCTATCTTATGTCCGACTGAGGTAGAATGAGGACTAACTCCTGACTGCTGGATCTACTTTATCATGACTCTTGAACTCTTAGCCGCCTCTTGCGGTGCATATTATTTAACGTAACATCTTTTGCTGACGTCCCTCTGTCCGACGATCCTTTCTCAGTCACTTTCTGATCCAATTGACATACAACTGACTACAATCGATCAATCATAACGAATTCAAAAGAAAAACGGCAATTTAACTCTCGCAACCGTTATTTTCAGCGCCTTCTTACAATGCCGACATCACTACTTCCCCGACTCCTCCTAATGAGCCTCTTCGTCGTTCATGCGATGGCTGGTAACTGCTGCTGGAGAGACAGCTGGGGAAACAGCTTGCAAGACACCGGATACGGCAATAGAAACTACAACTATGATACGCTATGGCTCACATGGGACGAGCCTGCACAGATCGTTCGATGTGGTCTCTCTGGCAACTTTCAGCCCGGAACGAAGTGCTCCTCTGCAACCTTCAAGGACGAAAACGGCAACCTTCAAGCATTAACGAACATCACCTTTGGTAGCGACCCTCAGCCCTTCCAGTTCCGCATAGGTATTAATCCGGGGAGCTGCGATCCTTTGCCCAACGAGAAGGTCGTCACCGGCTGGGAAGGCTGGGGAGTGTTCATGTGGGAGGGCCATGAATTTGCTACAGAGCCGCTGGGACTCTGCAATACGGACCATTCAGCGTGAGCCCGGCATGACTTCTTTTCTACATACGTTGGACTGCAGTACACGGCATGCGGGGTTATATCCGAACATCTCATACGAATATCGATCGACATTTGTTTCCTAGCTAATAGCGAATTTTGTACTCGGAGAAATACCAAAGTCTTTTGCTCATCTTAAGTACTGAAATACACTCGCATGGTTTGAACTCAAAGCGTCGCTCGAACTGGTCAGTCGCGCTCTCGACGCACGCGTGTTGGCGGTCGGCGAAGAGACCGCTGTGATTCCGTACCCGTTTGTGGTACTGGGTCGTCGCAGTGTCAAAGATCTGTTACCATTGCTCCGTCGCTCTTTCAGGGGTTCCATGTAAAGAAGCCCCGCAAGTATCACGCCAATCTCCAAGATCGTGGGACAGATGTAGATGCTCACGCGAGCTTATCCGAACCTAAGGTACGCAACCACAAACAGTAGACTCTCTCATTTCCGCACAGGTCCGCAGAACTCCGCTCATCACCCCGACAGATCTTCAGATCAATGATCGGTGGATCTTCGTGTAAAAGCCTAATGCTCAAGCATAACAACGCTTTCAATTCCACGAATCCGGCGTGATGTGAGATGCTGGGGTCATTCAGATCACATGCAGAAGCAAATTTATCAGTGAGCGGAATGATTGCGGAGTTGAGGGATTCAGTCATTTAGTGTTTAGACCTCCGACGAGAACCAGGAACACTATATTTCAAACGTATTTTAAAGCATGGGCAGTTTAGTGATTGATAAAGTGAGCAAATTCTGTTTAGGTAATGAATGCCGCGCCACCAGTGTTCCGTTTTGCTATGAGAAAACATTTCTCATCGCGTTCTTGACCATAGCTCCTGCAAGCACCATTAAAAAGGCCAAATACGTCTGTGTCATTATCTGGCCCCTATCTTAGAGGATTCGTGGCTGATAGACGTGCGTCCAGGACCTTTCTCAGGTATAGGTATACCAGACTGCTGGGCCCCTTCCTTGTCCGAAGAGACCAAGTCACTTTCTTGTTGCCCATCTGTCTCCTCGTCAGATGGACTGGTGTCTTGTCTCTTATCTCTCTTCAGATAATAGTGCATAATCCACGTGAATAGGACCAACGCGATAGCGCACCCAAGGCAGAAAGAGAACCCCTTTCTGTATCTTGGAGACTCGACCGTCGGAAATGTTAACAAGGGCGTCCATGCCGTTGAACTCTGAGACAACAGATTGATGAGCACCAAGGTGAAGCTTCGCTCCTCGGGACTGTCTCGCAGTAGATTGTTGACCCACCCGTGGAAGACGGACGACAGGGCGTTAGACCAATACATAGTTGCGAATCCAAACCACAAGCCTGCTTCAGGAACTGTCCATATAGTCAACAAGACTAGTCCCACAGCGTTCAAAAAGGAGCAGATAGTGATGGCCCATGCTGGTCCGAGGAAGAGGTCCGAAGCAAAACAGGCGATGAGCGTGTAGGCAATACCCAACGCCGGCGAAATAGTGCCAAGCTCGTTGACCTTTGCTTCACTGTATCGGCCGAGACTTTTGATCCAAAGAAGATAAGATCCAGTGTTCTTGTGGATACCGGCGTTCCAGAAAAGAACGTCTGTTGTGATGACCAGCCAGAAACGGAACCCCAAAAGGGTGCGCTTGATATGCCCAAATTTCATCTTGCCGTGTAGCACATGCCCGTGTTTCTTGAGGCGCTCTCGAGCAACTCGAAGATCATCATCGTTGACGCACCATTTGTTGGGCTGATCGACCGTTCCTGGGATGACGAAGTAGCCCAAGATGCCTACAGGAATTGTGATTAAGGCACAGATAATATACATCCAGCGCCATCCTTCCATGCCTGTATATCAAAGTTAATAACTTGATTCAAGTGGCTCTAAGTTTCGTAAACGTGATCTCACCGCGAACTCCCTCCAAAGAAGTTGATGCGCCCGCTTGGATCAAGCCTGAAGTCAGAGTGCCGGCAGCTAAGCCTGTGTAGAAAATGCCACCACGGCGAGCAATCTCGTGGCCTCTATACCAGGAACCTGATTTTAAATTAGCAGCTATACGGCCGATGAATGGCCAAGACATACCGAAAACGTAGTGCATAGCGGGGAAGAAGGCGGCTTCAAACCAGCCGACCATGAAACGATACGCCGCCAACTCTGCGTAAGAGGTGACGCGATACTGAAGAAGAGTGAACACTCCCCACAGTACGTCGCAGATTGGCACCAGATACTGTATAGGAACATATGTCATGATGAATCTGCAGACTCTATCAGCGCTGGGAACAGAATATTCAACTCCCCAAAAGGGCTTACAAAAAGGGGATTTGTCCAAGCACTGAGCCAAGGGTAAAAAGGGTTTGAAGTTGTACGAGCTCGTTGCCGTAGAACCCAAGATCTTCTTTCATACCGGCCACATAGGCATTGTTCAAGTTAGACTGGTCGATGTACTTGACCCAATACCCTAGGACAGAGTACGGGACCAGGAACATGTCGATTTTGGTGATGAGACGGCGCTCCTCCGGGGTGTCATCGTCAGAAAACCATTTGATTTTCCACCATTTGTCCCGCGGGACGGATTCTTTCAAAGCCGATGCCATGATGGTCTGACAGCTTTAGGTGGAGTACTCGAAATCACTTGGTTGACCAAGTCAAAAGTAAGCGGAGGCTCGTGCTTGTGATATATCTTTCATTTTGGACCCGTCTGTGCCAGTCTTATTGTCTTCAAAATTTCAGATGAGCCATTGCGCAATAGAATCCAAGAGAATTGCAATCTTTCGGATGCACCACAAGCTTGTGAAGTTGGGGACCGAACCGGTGAAAAGTGGAGGGACAAGACGCGAAGGAAGAAATGGCCAGGGTGGAAGTGAAGAAACGGCGATAACAGCATGCGATATCGGTAAACAGAACCAACGCAATCATGTCCAATGCTACGATGGGTCGTTTACGTCGAGTAGCGAAGACGGTCACACGGCGATCGCGGGATGATGTGCTGCAACCCCACAATGATGATAGACGCAACCTTGCTTCGACAGTCTTGGCTCACTTTAACGCACTGAAAGTTCGAACAAAAGGCTGGCTGGCACATCAAGAATATTCAATGGCGGATTGATTTACCCGTTCTTTCAAGCGAATCTTTCCCAAAAGACGTGTTCTGTATCATGTTTTCCCTGCTTCAAGCTGTATTCAGCTATGTTTTCGTCGCCACTGGTGGTGCAGAGCGCCTAATACTCCGCTGAAAAGCATTAAAGATCTTAGTAAACCAGACAGGACGTACTTATCATTTTAACTCATAATCCCTCATACGACGATTAACACTCTAATTTAATGCGATGTTTGCCTTAAATGTTGAAGAGTTACACGTATTGCAGCCGCGGCGCTTCGTCAAAATTTCCATACGTGACTGGCCAGATTGGATTTTAGTTGCTCATCAGAAGAAGAACACTCGGAAAATTTGCTCTTCTTCGATGATTCGGGTCGCAGCTGAAACTATCGTCTCATTATCGAGTAACAAGGAGTTGACCAGGGCAGGCTTTGAAACTGACGTCGCGTACCCCAACCTAGCCCGCAACTTGCAGGATACGGATGACTGAAGTCTTTCAAGCTTTCCCGATTGCGATTGATTTCATCCGCATCACAGTCTTGTCCTTCGAATTAGACATTGACGATGACTGTCTCTCACGAATCTGTCAGGTCGATCCAGTCTCGGCGTGTAGCAGTAAATCTTGTCGCAGTTCGGAGAATTCGCGAAACGCATCGTCCCCGCATTTCAAGATTCGCGACAGAAGCGCCCCTGAAGAGTCGATCTTGAACTGAGTCTCGTACCCGCTAATTGGGGGGACTCTTGGGTTTCGCATCATTCCCTTCGTCGTGACTCGGCTTGAATTACCCTTTTCTCAATTGCTATTAAAGACGGATGATATAAACCGTCTCATGTTGCCGTTCGTCTGATGTCGGCTTTCCCCGTTACTAGAATTCCAGCACGCCTTCTTCTAATGCAACTTCGTTCTCTTCGTTAAAGCTGTCTGATACAGTCCAGTAACTCACAAGCCGGTCTCTACAGAATTTCTTTATTCAATTCATCGACATGCACCTCACCGTCTTCACCATTGCGCTTGCGAGCCTTGCCAGAGTGGCGACTGCTGGAGTTGCCGTTGCACCTCGATCGGACATCTCTCTTTTCACCCGAGTTCCCCAGGCGCCCGCGCCTGCCAAAGGCACTTCTACCAAGGTCGCGACGACACCCGAGACCTCAGACCCGCATGACAACTTCGACCCCAAAGTGATCATTGGAGGAACAGTTCAGTGCTTAGCTGCAACGTATGTTTACACCGTGCATATGAAAAACTCTTCATCTCTAATGCATCTCATTACAGTGCTCCGTCGAAGAACGATCAGCTCATTGCAGAGCTCTCTATTTGCGGAGGTATCAAGGCACCCATCAACAACTGCCCAGGCACGGAACAGAAATCGACCGGAACGTCAGGCAAGGCTCTGTGGACGCTGGAGGCTGCTGCTGGGGAGAAGATCAACATCTTCAAGGGCAGATGGGAAGAGTGCTGCAATGCTGGTCGAGCCACATGTAAGGGAAAAGCATTCTCATTGCAGTGCGAGAACGGCACGGATGCTGGCAACCCGGTTACCATCACGCTTTCAAGTGTGTAATACGGGCTTCCAGAGAAGAGGACTTGTAATCCGTAAATTGGTTAGAACAAGGGTAAAAGAAGGCCGTTTCCCAGAAGAGCCCTTGAAGCCCAACCTAAGTCATGCATAAATCAATGCTCCCAGGCAGGTTGAACTGATGTGGTGGGCAGAAGCTCGAACATTGAGCTTTTGAGACGGTCCACAAAGATACTTCATTTGTCCTATCCTGGAATGTATTTCGTTAAATATTGGATCGAAATAAAGCTTTAACAGACTTCCGAGCTAATGAGGTACGGTAAAAGGTGACAACATCCACGGACGAAGCCCGGAAGCCGCTTGGCAGGTTCGTCTGATGATATCGCGTCGCAGAAACGCAACATGCAGGGTCCGCACACTCAATTCGCCTGGAAACCAACTGACTGCGGCCTCAAACACACAAAACGAGAACGAAGTGTTTGAAACAGGAGCTTTGAGTGTATCGCTTCACCTATCAGAGCCTGAGCGTGCGAGAAGACCTCGAAAAGGCCTTTCCAGTGATAAACGTCCGTGGCCCTATCAGGCCACTTGGCATAGATACGAAGCATATCATTGATGTGGAACCATGGATGTGTGGTTAAAGCTCGATGAAACAAAGCTTTGTCGATTCAGGATGACACTCGTGAAGGGGAAGCTACGGCAGGTCACTGATGCGACGGCTCTTAGCCACTGGTTAGGAGATCTGCGAGCTCCGGCGATGGCTCCGACGTCCAGTGCATTGTGCGAGCATATAGTAGTTACGACACAATTGGGATCAAAATAGCGACTTGTGAAGATTGAAGGGAGCAGGACGTTGAGTGGGAAAGATTTATTACAATCCAAGACATAAGTACATGGCCCTATTTGCAAACTTGATAGGCTACATCGGGAATCTCATAACAGAGAGCAAGACACCTATCATCATCATGCCCCGCACTTAAGCAACTTTTTTAATTTATCGTGACACGTCAATCTAGAGACGGCTTGGGAGGTTCGAACCCTTCTTAACGTCGAATCGGTCCAAGTTCATGACCTTGTCCCAGACCTTGACGAAGTCCTGCACGAACTTCTGGCCACCATCGGCCTGGCCGTAGATCTCAGCGACGGCGCGGAGCTCAGCCTGAGAGCCGAAGACCAAGTCGACGCGGCTGGCAGTCCACTTCTTGGAGCCGCTCTTGCGGTCGCTACCCTCGAAGACGTCGGGGTCGCTGGTGGCCTTCCAGACGGTGCCCATATCCAGGAGGTTGACGAAGAAGTCGTTCGTCAGAGCACCAGGACGGCTGGTGAAGACACCGTGCTTGGAGCCGTCATAGTTGGTGTTCAAGACACGGAGACCTCCGACCAGAGCGGTAAGCTCAGGGGCAGTCAGGGTAAGGAGATTGGCGCGGTCAACCAAGAAGTTCTCGGTCTTGACGCGGCGTGTTGACTTGCCGTAGTTGCGGAAACCATCGGCAATAGGCTCGAGGTGGCCAACAGACTCAACGTCGGTCTGCTCCTGTGACGCGTCGGCACGGCCAGGGGTGAAGGGAACGGTGATGTTGTGTCCCGCGTTTTGAGCGGCTTGCTCAACACCGGCAACACCACCAAGGACGATCAAGTCGGCCAGAGACACCTTCTTGCCACCAGAGGCGGAGCTGTTGAACTTCTGCTGGACCTTCTCGAGGGCTGAGAGAACCTCCTTAAGCTGGCCAGGGTTGTTGACCTTCCAGTCCTTCTGGGGAGCCAAGCGGATGCGGGCTCCGTTGGCACCACCACGCTTATCACTACCGCGGAAAGTGGATGCGGAAGCGAAGGCGGTAGAAATGAGCTTAGAGCCGTCAACACCAGTGGCAAGAATCTCCTTCTTGAGGGCGCCGACATCCTGGTCGTTGATGACAGCGTGGTTGACCTCAGGGATGGGGTCTTGCCAGATGAACTCCTCGGTGGGAACCTCAGGGCCGACATAGCGGGAACGGGGACCCATGTCACGGTGGGTGAGCTTGAACCAGGCCTTGGCGAAGGCATCAGCGAATTGGTCTGGGTTCTCGAGGAAGCGACGAGAAATCTTCTCGTACTCGGGGTCGAAGCGCATTGACAAATCAGTTGTCAACATGGTGGGGAGGTGTTTCTTGTTGGGGTCGTAGGCATCGGGAATGATGGGCTCGGCGTTCTTTGCCACCCACTGGTTCGCGCCCGCGGGACTCTTGGTAAGCTCCCAGTCGAACTTGAATAGGTACTCGAGGTACTTGTTGCTCCACTTGGTGGGAGTGGCGGTCCAAGTGACCTCGAGACCAGAGGTGATGGTATCAGGACCCTTGCCGGAACCGTGCTTGTTGACCCAGCCGAGACCTTGCTGCTCAATAGGAGCGCCTTCGGGTTCGGCCGCGACGTTGCTGTCGGGAGCAGCACCGTGGGTCTTGCCGAAAGAGTGACCACCAGCAATGAGAGCGACGGTCTCCTCGTCGTTCATGGCCATACGGCCGAAAGTAACACGAATATCTCTCGCGGCAGCGACGGGATCGGGGTTGCCATCGGGACCCTCAGGGTTCACGTAGATAAGACCCATGTGGGCAGCTCCCAAGGGCGCCTCAAGCTCGCGGGTGTGGATGTCCGACTTAGTGTCCTGAGATCCGTCGACGACACCAGGGCCGTCCTTGCCCTCGTGGCCGTGGGCATAGCGGATATCGTTACCCAGCCATGTGTTCTCACCTCCCCAGTAGACAGACTCATCGGCCTCCCAGGTGTCAGGGCGACCACCGGAGAATCCGGCAGTCTTGAAGCCCATAGACTCGAGGGCAACGTTACCGGCCAAGATCATGAGATCGGCCCATGAAATCTTGTTGCCATACTTTTGCTTGATAGGCCACAATAGGCGGCGAGCCTTGTCGAGACTGACATTGTCTGGCCAGCTGTTAAGAGGAGCAAATCGCTGCTGGCCCTGTACGACGAAGTTCGGTTAGCAACTTGATCTGACGCGGGGGTTCGGAGCGAACTCCGAGTGTGACTTACCTCGCCACCACCTCCGCGACCATCCTGGACACGGTATGTTCCTGCGCTGTGCCACGCCATACGAATGAAAAGACCTCCGTAGTGACCGAAGTCAGCTGGCCACCAGTCCTGAGAGTCGGTCATCAGAGCTGTGAGATCCTTCTTCACGCCCTCGTAGTCGAGGGTCTTGAACGCAGCAACATAGTCGAACTCCTGTCCCAATGGGTTGGTGACGGGAGTGTGCTGGCGGAGGATGTTGAGCTTCAAGGCGTCGGGCCACCAGTCGCGGTTCTTAGTGCCACCTCCGCCGGTGTTCATCAGGCGGGTGGCTGGACACTTGCTCTCGGCCATGATTGCTGATTATTCTCTTGTAAGATCTGCTGTGGTATCAATGGTGTTTTCTGTTTTGCGTCTTCAATTGATGGAAGAAAGGCAAAAGCAGGGAGGGAAAAAGAAAGTCGATCATCTTCAGAAGCGCGGAGGAGGGACGAGAACCCCGCGTTTTATGGCTAAGGGTTATGGCGACGCCCCCCGACCCCTCATCCAGTTGCATGACCAATAGCCAGAATCTTGTTGGCGGTTGGGCGGGATAGCCCAAAGCCGAGTACATAGTGAATACCACTGTGCGCTCACATCTATTTCCCAATTATCTTGCACTAACGCGTGACAGCAGCCACCATTCCAGACTCGATTCTAGTGCGGGTGGGGGCGAGGGACGTGGGAGGGCAGCTTGGGAGGCAGCTCGGGCCTGGTATGACAAATGGTGGGAGCTAGGAAAGCCACGGGATGGCGATGTTCTCAGGGTCCTTGTGTTCGAGATGATCTAGATCAATCGCGGCAAGCCCGTTGCGGTCAATCCGCAAGGCCTTCCATTTGTTCTCTCCTTCCACGGACGTTCACCTCGAGGCGAGAGGCAACAAAACGATTGTCCCTTCGTTATCCATCTGTTAAGAGCCAGCTAGGGCGTGCTCTGGTTGCTATGACGCGCACATTGGGATGATTTAGAGCTCGCTCTAGCAGATTTCGGAGGCATTGCCACACTGAGCCGTTAGCCTCACAGTCCCAATAAGATGCAACAGTACCGTGAACTTGCGTGACCAGCTTGGAACAGTAGCTTGGGCCGAGTCAAAATGCCGTGCGGGGAGGACCCATCGAGGGAGCCTGTGAGCCTGGGGAAAGGGAATGTGCAGCAGATCGACACACCATCTTTTGTCCAATCGAAACGAACATGATAAGCAGAAACCATGTGGAATAGTTAAACAGTGACATTGAGTTGCAGCAGGGTGGAGGTACCTCTGGGTCCCTCTGCCCCGTCTGTCCACATTCCGTTCGCTCCGAGCCGGCTGCCCCAGCCTGTCCACTTCTGCTATTACTCCATGTTGTGTTCTGTTGAAATACGCTGTGTGTGAATGGCTATTGTCTTACAACCAACCCCGCAGTATGCTCACTTTTCTCTAACCTCAGGTGGTTTCTCTGCAGTGAAGAAAAACGAAGCATGCAGCAAACTGTTCATATTCGCCGAACCGAACCGCCCGCGCGACCCCTCTCTACTTGCTATATATACTGGGCTGCATGAGAAAGCGACCGGGGGTAAGCTTCTCGAGAACCTCGGCGACGTCACTCAACCCCACTTTGTTTCCTCGGTGCCGCGTCGACGCCAGACACTGGTTCTCTGATTACCAACGCTAGCTCCCAAACCAGGGTAGTCTGCGACAGAGATGGTACTCGATAGAAGGCCTCTGAAGCTAAGACCGCCGATGACCGGCGGACTTTTGATGGTGTACGGGGATTATCACAGGCGAATGGGAGGGATATCGATATCCCAAGATATCAAATCTTCATCACACACATCAACAGCAACCTCTACGGCCCCCGTCGAGGAAGACGAAAAGAAAACGGCCAGCTCGCATTGGACATTGGGCTTATGCGTTGTCGAACCTTCTTCGATTTTGATGGCTGCTGACCACTGCTGCGCCCAAGCTTCTTCCGCTCCCCCGCAACGCTTGGCAACTCCGGGATTCGTGCGAAACATCCCCGACTCGTGTTTTTGTTTTTTGCCCTCCGCTCAATTCGCCGATTGACCGGCATCGCACAGTCGCTGGACCCCACCGGTCAGTCGTTCGCAATCGTTGATATCATAGACTCTGAAAGGCGGAGCATTGAGAGCCCAGAACACCGTTGGATGGATCCGTAGTCACATGCTAGCGAACCCCCTGTATCCTGGCAGCGATGGCCCGCCACCAGTGGTTTTTTTCTTCAACGTCAACCGTACGCTTGGAATCTGGAGTCTGGGCGACGACACCTTGGAGGCTAATGGGGCTAACTGAATTCACACATTATTAATGGTTTCAGAGAATAATTGGCTGGAGTAAGCTTTGAGTTCCACGTGGGTTGAACACGGGAAGACGGTGTGCGAAGCCGGCTGGGAATTCAGTCCCTACGTGTGCAACCCAATTGCGGCAACTCCAGGTGGATGAACCAATTACTCACAGGATATGTTGAAATGTTTCTTGTTACTTGGAGTAAGTTTAATACCCTTTCGTTTCGACTGCCTTCGACCCTATCCAAGAGTACTGCTCCAGCCGCTGCTCAATATTTTGTCTCGTCTTAAGCTGTGGCGACCAATTAAATGTCGCGCATGATATCTTGCGCTTCGCAGCCTTCCCGGCGGGATCATGTAGCTGAAGTCTTATCAGAGTTCAGGCGGCGGCTGTTTTAAGTAGATGACAGCTGTTGTCGATCCATGTATCGTCAAGTCACCCGTAGTAGTTCGTGCTACCCCTCCTTCTAACATTGACACCTTCTGGGTGAAACATGACGTGCAAGGAAGAGCTGTTCACTGGCTGCGCTAAGTCCAGTTGTGTGGCTGGTAGGAATTCAGCCGTAGATCTAATGCTCCGAAGGAAATCTCCAGCCGCGGCCCGCGGGTGTGACTGCCCCATCAAACGAGATATTTCCCGATTCCTCCTAGAACAGGACAAAGATAGTGTTGCGGGAATCGTCAAAGTTACGGGTCGGTATCCTTTACTCGAGCCTATGAAGCAGGATTCGCATATCACGAACATTATCAAGCAAGTTACTTGCTTCGTGTATGTTGTGGAGCAACTTCAATCTCACATTAATCCTCTTACGGGGCCATAGATCTGCGAATGCTTCAATTACTCCATATTTTCGCTAGCCTAATGAATAATGCTGATTACGTCTGAATTGCGAGGAACACGTCCCAGGGGTTCCGATAGCACCGCTGCCACATCGTTTTGTGACCTGCCTTCAGTGAACCCACGATGTAGCCTTCAGAAAAGTGACGTATATATCCCGTAGCCACCGGAAGCCACAAGAACAACTTTTTGATGGACTCAAATGGAATGTCGAAGAGTCGAGAAGCAAAATGATGTCTCGGAATTTGCAAAGCGGATGACAAAACCAACCATCACATGGATTTTCCTATCAGCCCACCACTTTCCTGAGATACAGTTAGTGATGCGTCAAATCAACAGGAACCATCATCGTGTTACCCCTTCCCGCCTGCGGCGTTTGTGCTTTCGCCATAATATTGTACCGGCCATACCTAACAGTGATGCCGAAGCTGTCAAGATTAGCACACTCTCCGAGAATCCCATGTTGGACGGGTCGCACCTATGCCTCCCAGCACTCCGATTACCACTACTCCTGCCCCCGTGGTAAAGGAAACACCATTGTTGGCCGGTAAAGCGGATGGCTGCGGTGTTGTGTCGGCAGCCTCACTGGGGAGTGGGATTGTAGAGGATGTATGTGATGTAGAGGGAAGCGTAGGCACCACCGCAGGCGCGGTGACGGTGACCGTTTGAGGAGGCTGAGTGACGAAGACCGTGTTTGTTGGGCTAAGGCTGGGCTGACTGAGACTGCCGCCGAAGTTCGGTCCTGATCGAGCTGGTTGAACCGATGGAACTGGTTGAAATGATGGAACTAATGGAACTCGCGTTGAAGTGTGAAATGTTGTTCTCGGGACTGGCAGTGTAGGAGTAGCTGGATCAGGAAGCGGAAGTGTTGATGTCGGTATCGGTGTTGATGGACGAGTTGATGATGGAGTGAGCAGAGCCGGCTTTGATGTTGTTGCATGTGGGATCGCAACTGCTGGTAGTTCCGAGACGATCAAAGGTCGGTTTGGTGTAAGTGGCCCAGTCGGAGTGTTTGGATCAGTGCGACCTTGTTGCTGCTGCTGCTGCTTTTCTTTTTGTTGTTGCCTACGGACAATCTCGAGGTCCAGCCTGGGTGGAGGAGCCGCCCTCCTGTTGACCATCGATAGACCAACCATTATGAGTTTGAGTCTTGGAGGTAATCTGAAAGGATATGTGTAAGACTTGGGATCTCTAGGCTTTAGAGAGAAGTGGAACAGGTCAGACAAACCAGTGGCGGAGCAAGTTCAGACCTGGAAGCCTATGAGAATGTCCCGAGGGGGACTGATTGTCATGACAGCTGAGTCAACATGAGTCTGGTCTTGTCAGGATATGAACCACTAGCACGTCTTGTAATGTAACCGGTCCCATACCTCTGGTTTTACTTCAAGTCAAACAGGTCCAACGTTGGCTCCAGCGTCTGGGCGTGCGTAATCGTCTCGACAGGATTTCAGCGACAGAAGGAAATTTCCGCGGGGTAAAGTTGACATTAGATATCGGCTCCTCTTGAGTGGAGAGAGGCAATATGGTGACCCCGAGCAAGGGTTGAGGCTCCGGTGTCTTTATTACCGCGCAGCTGAATGCAAGGTGGTGACACATGGCAGGCCGGCGAGTGGTTTTAAGCTTGGCGCATCACCCTTGAGCGTTTCACGCTTACTGACAGGCCAGCCAGTAGCGTAGCGTTACGAGCTGATTTGGGTAAAGTCAATCACCCCAAGGCAGATTGATCCCGTCGGCCGTATGCACCCGCAAAACGAATTGCAGCGGAAACTCTGATACTCTCGAATAGACTATTTTTGGGAACATTTGCCGGGCAGTGTCAGGCCTGTCTGCGTACTCCTTTACGTCGGCGAATGTTTGCCGTTGTGTAGGAGAGGCGTGGATACAGACGCCCGGGACTCAACAACAGCCGGTGTTAGTCTGAAATCGCCCGTCAGAGGTCTTGGCGGACGAGTTGATGATCTGTGTGTCGGGATTTCGAATCTTGGCTGAACGTTGAAAAGCAATTCAGACTCGTTATTTACACGGATCGCCTCACAAAACTCGGGGGTCGCGCAAGTTGTAGTCCTGGAACCCAATGTCCTCGAAACAGTCGGCATCTCTATTGACAATGGCAGCTGCTGGAAGTGCGTCTCCTCGCACTCTGCAGCAGGGCATTCGCAGAAGCATATCTGCGGCTGCTTCGGGTGGTCTGCACCTGCTGACCAGCGAGACGGATCTCAACCAAGGCCGAGAACACGACGAACACATATCGCCGACGCGGGTCTCTGTGAGGGATCGCATGAGCCTCCGGTCTAGAAGTCCCGGATCCTCGAGTCTATCAGATCTGGATCCCTTCTTTGATCGAGCAATGTCACTGCCTTCCATTCGGGAGAGAGATAGTGACAACGACAGCCAGTTCCGCAATCCATTTGCAGACACGAACTCTGTGGCAGACACGCAGGCAGACGATGCTCGGAATCCGTTCGACGATTCAAGTGCCGAGGACACACTGCAGGAGCAGCCTCTAGAGCCGCCCTACCACATTTTCACCAAGAGGCAAAAGTGGTTTGTTATCGTCATTATAGGCACAGCTGGGTTGTTCTCTGGCCTATCGTCAAACATCTACTTTCCATCGCTCGATGCCATCTCACGGGTAGGCCCTTTTGTACCTCGGATTTACGAACATGAGCTAACTTTAATATAGGATCTACATGTGAGCGCCGAGATGGTCTCGTTGACTATCACCTCCTATCTCATTATCCAAGGCATTTCGCCGCTCTTTTGGGGCTCTATCTCAGATGCCTTGGGGAGACGACCTATCTACATCGCCTCTTTTGCCGTCTACATCATTTCCAACATCGGTCTCAGCTTTTCGCCAAATTTCACCATTCTCATGGTTTTCAGAGGGTTGCAAGCGGCCGGCAGCGCTTCGACCGTCAGCATCGGTAAGCCCGACCCGAGGGCGATCAGCCCAAACCCACCAAACCTATTTTTAAAAGAAACCACACTCGTCATCAAGTTCTAACCACCACTGTAGGAAACGGTGTCATCCAGGATATCTCTCCTCCCGCGGAGCGGGGTGAGTTCATTAGTTTTTACCAGGCGAGTAAGTCGATGCCTCCTGTTTCATGCTCTGCAGTGAGTGGTTGGTGCTCGGAGTTGCTTACTCGGAGGTAATCTCGAAGTCCGAAACTTCAGCATAGCAGTTGGGCCTGTGCTCGGCGGTCTGCTCGCAAACTTCCTCGGTTTCCGATCCATCTTTGTCTTTCTTTTGATACTCTCTTCGGTAGTCACTATTGTGATTATCATATTTCTGCCCGAGACCATGCGAAGCATTGCCGGGAATGGCTCGCTCCGGCTGGGGGGTGTCTATAAGCCCCTGATACGCCTTGTTACAAAAGAGCCTGATTATCTAGAAGACCCGGAAGAGCCCCTTCCGCGGAAGAAGGTGACAGCTGCAACCTTCTTGGAGCCTTTGCGTCTGCTCGTACAGAGAGACATACTCATCAACCTCATATTCGGCGGTGTTGTTTACACCATCTGGAGCATGGTCACGTCGAGTACCACTGGATTGTTCAAACAGCTTTTCAACCTAAATGAACTCCAGATTGGCTTGGCGTTTCTACCCAATGGTATGTTATACCAACGCTCCACTCTTGACGACCTACACGAAATCTGACTCACTCTTTCACAGGATTCGGAACTATCGTGGGCTCAGCCATAGCTGGAAAGCTAATGACACGAGATTACAAGGCAATAGAAGAGGCATACAAGGTATCCCATAACATGGAGAAGTCCGAAAAGCTGACAGCCAAGAACATGCCCGCCGACTTCCCGATAGAACGGGCGCGTCTACGTCGTTTGCCATGGGTCGTCGTCATATTCATCGCATCAACGGGTGCTTACGGCGTCTCGCTCAACTTTCCCGCCGCGACCTCATTGACAGGCTGGATCGCTGTTCCGCTTACACTACAGTTCTTCATCGCTGCGACGAGCAACGCTGTGTTCGCCCTCAACCAGACTCTCGTCACGGATTTGTGCCCCGGCAAAGGAGCAAGTGCTACAGCCATCAACAATCTCGTCCGATGCGGCCTAGGAGCGATTGGGGTGGCGTTCATAGAGCAGTTCATCGCTTCAACAGGACCTGGGGCCGCGTTTCTTGGACTTGCACTTGTCATGGTTGTCGTTGGGCCGTTGGCGGTTGTTCATTGGTACTGGGGCCAACAATGGAGAGCTGCAAGAATTCAGGCGAAAGAGATGACAGAGACCGAGAAAGAGGCAGGGCGTTCGGGTTGAACAGTTCCCTCCGAGACTAAGACGCTCGTCAGCATTTACAATCGTTCAAAAAGCCAGCATACATCCCAGAATACGGAGCCTACATACATGTTTGCATTATTGGGAAAGGGATAAATAGACAAAAGCATGAGAATCTCCTCGGTTGTGATGAACTTCGTGCAACCGCTACTCATAGCCAAGGCATTTCAAGATACATGCGACAATCTAGCAGATCAAACGCTGATCATGTTTTGCTCTATCTATTCTTTGGGAGCCCAACCATCCAATTCGTGAAAGCTCGCGCCACTGTTCATGCTTCGAGAGATACCTCCGAAGCATCGCCTTGCTTTCCGCAGCAGATTCGGCACCAGCCAACTATCGCATCGTACCCGGGGCAGTGGTTACGACTCGCAACGTAAGTGGAGCTGGCTCTATTTTCAGACAAGAATCCCCAGACAAAATCTGTCTTTGGTCTGGCGAATCAACGTAGCTCGAAATGCTGATGACTTACACACGAGCGCTGATCCGATTTCCGCCCCGCAGTCGACCTGATCAGGGGTCAGCGTCTTGTTCTGAAAGAACCTAAATAGCTGTCAGTTCGTCGCAACCACTAGTAAATCTTCAACTGACATTTGATCCCATCAATCGGACTGATTCCTTTCGTGCCTTAGTCAGGACTCACCCAAGGTTCGGCTTTCGGTTCTGGTTCTTTCCCGATCAATCGGCCGGGCCGACCCCGGACTCGGCTTACCGCTGGCATGCATACCCGAGCGGGGTTCGTCTTATCAGCAACGCGATTGACATTTCTATTAGACGGCCGGCACGCCGATGGTGCTCCGGGGTGAGATATCGCAATGATAGTTATCCTCGGAAGACTTGAGCTCATCAGTATATATTTCGTTGCTTCATCCTGCAAATTAGCACAGCTCTTGGCGGCTTTCCACAGCTGAGAACTCCGACCCATCATCCCACCGTCCCGAGGTTTTATTGTGTCTTTATTCAGGATACTCGCAATTCATTATGACGGCTCCCGAAGTTCATGCCGCGAACGTGAGTTCCAAAGCCATCAAGATTCAACAGCAACTCGCCCAGTACCTCGACAAATACGTTTCAGACAACCAAAAGTCACTGCAATGCAACAAGGAGGCATCCCGTTCCTTGCCAGGAGGAACAACCCGCTCCGTTCTTTACTATGAACCCTTCCCACTGGCGTTTTCGGGAGGTCACGGTTGTCATCTAACATCCATGGATGGGGAGGAGTACCTCGACTTTCTCTCTGAGTACTGCGCTGGCATGTTTGGCCACTCACACCCAGACATCATTGCCGCAATTGAGAGTGTTACCAAGTCAGGATTTACTCTCGGTGGACCAGGACCTAAAGAGGGCGAACTGGGAAAGTTGCTTGTGGACCGGTTTCCAAGTATCGACGCCATCAGGTTCTGTAACTCAGGTACAGAGGCTAATACCATGGCTATTGCTACTGCTCTGCACTTTATTGGGAGGAAGAGGGTAATAACTATTTCAATCCCTACAAGATCTCGGGATTTTGCTAACAATTTCATCAGATCTTGGTTTTCGAAAATGGCTATCACGGCGGCACACTAGCCTTCACGCCAGGAAACCCGTTGATTCTCCCGCATGACTTCGTTCAGGGTCGCTACAACGACATTGAGTACACCCGCCCTCTCATTACCGAAGAACTCGGCATCATTATCGTCGAGCCGCTGCAAGGCGCAGCCGGCATGTTTGCTGGAACCCAGGAATTCCTCCAGTTTCTCAGAGACGAGGCCACCCGCGTCGGCGCTATCTTGATCTTTGACGAAGTCATTACCTCGCGCCTCAACTACGGCGGTCTGCAAGAAATCCACGGAATTGTTCCCGACATGACGACTATAGGCAAGCACTTTGGAGGCGGCTTCTCCTTCGGTGCCTTTGGCGGAAAGAAGGAGATCATGGACCTGTACGACCCGTCGTCTCCCACGAGCCTGCATCACTCCGGCACCTGGAACAATAACAAATTCTCCATGACGGCAGGTGTTGCTGCGACGAAGCTGCTTTCGAGAGAAGCCCTCGATAAGAACAATAGCCTTGGTAACAAGCTGAGGGACGGACTTGGCGCTCTTTTCAAGGCCAAGGATGAGTCGATACTTACTCTTAGTGGGTTCGGCAGTGTCATTGGAGTGCACTTCAACGGACCCTCGGCAGACAACCTGCGAGACTTGTTTTTCTTTTACATGCTGAGCAAGAGGATTTACGTCGGTCGTCGGGGATTTCTTGCGTTGAACATTACCCACGAGGAGAAACATGTCAACAGGGTACTAGCAGCGGCAAAGGACTTTTGTGATGAAGTATTGTAAGAGCGATTGTGTCATCTCAAATGCAACAAACTTTCAATGGCAGGTGTCCACTTGCACTTGTATTGTGATACCTGACTCGGGATGAGGCAGCAAGCCATTTCGGCCCGTAATCTGATAAGGCTGTCTCGGCCCGGATGTTCAACTAACTGATGGATGACCCGCCATCCCCTTGCTCGAAATACCGATTTCCGGAGTCTTGACGGTGGTGCTCAGAGAGGAAGGTTGATAAGATGCAGGATCAAGGTCTCTTGGCGGGCTCAGGGTAACGTGGTAACCCCCTCGATCCCTGTTTATCGCAGCAGATCAGCCTACCGCGCGGGGTAAACAGTGCCGAAGCGGCGCACGGCATCCGTGCTCTTAAGGACGCCTCGCCAACCAATTCAAACACTCAACCCTCACACCATCCTCAATCAGTCTTGCGCGAGAGGAGACGCAATTCGTCCGACTTCATTCACCTCCGCCCTAGGTTGTCCGACTGGTCTCCGGCTCTCCTCCGGCTGTCATCCACAATGCCGGACACCCGGCCCCGCCGCATGGCCCCACTCATCCAGCTCATCGCACTCCTCTCCCTTCATCCCGGTCATGTCTTCGGTCAATCCTCCCCGGGATTCCCCATGGTCATCAACACATGGGGCGGACCTTTCACTGCTGCCACTGACGCTGCGTACCAGGCGCTCCTGAAGCCGGGCACCTCGGCCCTCGACGCCGTCGAGATCGGCTGCGCGACCTGCGAAGCCAACCAGTGCGACGGCAGCGTCGGTTTCGGAGGATCCCCCGGCGAGAACTGCGAGACGACTCTCGATGCCATGATCATGGACGGAGTAACCATGAAATCCGGCTCCGTCGCCGCCCTCCGCCGCGTCAAGAATGCGATTGGAGTGGCCCGCCATGTGCTCGAGTACACTTCGCACACCATGCTGGCCGGCGACCTCGCGACGGAGTTTGCCATCGAGAACGGCTTCACCGCGGAGACCCTATCAACTGAGGCATCCACCGAAAGATGTGCTGAATGGAAGAAGGGCAACTGCCAGTCAAACTACAGGCAGAACGTCACCCCCGATCCGAAGACTGCGTGCGGCCCGTACACGCCGGTTGAGCTCGACTCCAGCTCTCCAGACTACTTCAACCTCATCGCGCCGAACTCCGCCCAAGCCTCTCACGACACCATCTCCATGACAGCAATCGATGCCGATGGAATCATGGCGGCGGGTACGTCGACGAACGGCGCTTCGTTCAAGGTTCCTGGGCGCGTGGGCGATGGGCCTATCACTGGCTCCGGCTCGTATGTTGACGGTGATGTCGGGGCTTGCGGCGCTACGGGTGATGGAGACATCATGATGAGGTTCCTGCCGTGTTATCAGGCTGTAGAGAGCATGAGGAGGGGCATGACCCCGGAGGAAGCAGCGCGAGATGCCGTCGTTCGCATGGTCAAGAAGTACCCGGCAGTATCAGCTGGCATCGTGGTGGTCAACAACAAGGGCGAGCATGCAGGGGCAGGTTCGGGTTGGACTTTCACCTATGCATACAGAGGCGGGTCGATGAATGCGACACAGGTTGTCACTGTGCCTCCGGTCGTCGTTGGTCGGTCATTGACAGTTCAGATGCCTTAGGAAACCATTCGGGGTGGAGATTAACATACCTTTACTGATAATGAATATTGTTATCTTCACTTATGTGTAATTCATAAACCATGTCAAACGTATATAGTCCACCTCCATGGCGTCGACAAACTCGCGGCACACTTAGTAAACACGGTCATTGAGACTGCAACATTGGTCTTTTCTAAAAGATTTCGGGTGTCAGACTGGATCTGATTTATATACATCGCCATGAGACTCGGACAGAGCCCTAAAGGTAAGGCTACCAAATGTACAAGTAGAAATGCAAAGCCATCTAACATACTATCCACAAGCAACTTCTATCTCAACACAGCCACCACCCTCGTGGCAACTTCACGCTTTTTCAACAATAAGAATATCGGTTTGGTGTAGACCTAAGCGAAAAGAGGTGCTTAGTAGACGGGGACCTTGAAGGCGGGGAAGGTGTAGGTCCAGCTGTCGATGGACTTGGCGTCGTTGACGCAGTCAAAGTCGGAGCTGTTGCCCTTCCAGAGAGGGCGCGAGGGCCACTGGCAGAGCATCTGGGTCTCGCCGGCGTTGACATTGGTGGAAGAGGTGACGGTGGCGTTGAGGCGGTCGGGCTTGTTGCCGTTCTCGACCCAGTCGATCATGATGTTCATGTTGTTCTGGGGGTAGGGGCCGGGCTGGAGGCTGTTGGTGCCGCAGTGGCCGGCGCCGGGGACGAGGTAGAACTGGTACCAGTCCTGGAGAGCCTGCTGAGCGGCCTCGTCGGTCGCGTTGGGGTACATGATGGAGCGGACGGACTGCCAGTAGTGGACGGAGGAGGCGGCGGGGATAGAGGAGTCGGACTCGCCGTGGTAGTGGAGAAGCTTGCCACCGGAGGACTGGAAGGTGCTCAGGTCGGGGTAGGTGGTCTGGAGGGTGTCGTAGTAGCGGAGGAAGCCGGTGTTGATCCAGTCGACGAGGGTGTCGTAGGTGACGTTGTTCATGTCGGAGAGGTTGTCGAGCTCGAGGAGCTGGATGAAGCGGGTGACGTACTCGCCGCCGGTGGAAGGGATGGAGAGCTCCCAGGCGCCGGTGTCAGAGTTGTAGACAGTGGCAGCGTCACCCAGCTCGGAACCGATCTGCCAGGAGAGGTAGGCGCGCTCGCCTGCGGAGTTGAAGATACCGTCGTAGATGGCCTGGGCGACGGCGACACCCTCAGCGGAGACGGAGCCGTTCTGGGCGGGCTGGTAGCTGGTGGTGCTGCCGGCGGCCTGTCTCTTGTTGAGACCTCTCTTGTTGAAGCCGAAGCCGAGAGAGGTGCTGTTCTTCTCGGCGCAGTAGTAGGACTCGCCGATGACGGACTTCAGGTCGAAGTTGAGCTTGCAGAGGTCGGTACGGGAGATAACGCCATCGGTTCTTCCGTCAAGAGAATCGCAGGCAGCGATGGTGGAGTTGACGATCTTGGCCAACTCGCAGGGAGGGGGCAGGTAGTCCTGAACATGCTCAACAGCAGAAGAGTAGACGTGAAGGACCTGCTGGTGGGCAAAGCGGAAAGCAGGGGCACCGGCAATGACACCGTCGTACTCCTCACCCCAGCGCTGGACCTGAGACATACCCTCACGACCACCGTCGGAGCAGCCCTCGTAGTAAGTGTAGACCTTCTGGTCATCGGCCAAGCTGTACAAGCTCTTGGAAACGGCCTTGCCGACCTGGGTCATCTCGCCCAGGGCCTGGTAGCCGAACATGTGGGTCGCATCCCAGTTGATGGAACCGTTGCCGTAGAGGACCTGGGACATGTAGTCGTTGTTGAAGGCGTCGTAGCCGGCGTCGGTGGCACCGGAAGCGGCGCCGTAGGCCAGACCGCCGGTGGCGTCGCTGGAGAGGGAGTAGCCACCTCCTCCGGCAACGTAGAAACGGTTCTTGAAGTCGTCGGGGCTGGGGAAGGCGTACTTGAGGACAACCTTGTCGCCGTGGCCGGTGTGGGTGTAGTGGACCGTCACGTTGCAGTAGCTGTAAGTGGCCGAGCTGCCGGAGGAAGCTCCACCCATGCCGCCGCCGCCGGTGGTGGCGTTGTAGACCGCGGCCGCAGTGACGGTGGAAGGAAGAAGGTCGACTCCGAGAAGAGTGCCATTCGCGGGGAGGGCGTTCTGGACGTTCTCGACGGTGCAGAGATCGGTGAGAGAAGCCGCGTTAGCAGCAGCCGCGAGGGCGCGGACAGCCGCCTTGGAGAGTTGAGGCATGTTGGTGAAGTTGAGATGGAAACGCCCTAGGATGATAGTTGAAACGAATGTGGATGGAGAGAAAGGGAAACAACCTGAGGTGGTGAGGAGTTTCAAGACCAGAAACACAAAGTTGGGACGACTGCTTTTATAAACAAGATCGTCGTTGTTCAACCCTCGACGACGATGTCGCTGTCCGACAGTCCCCGTCGCATTGCGATCGAGAACATCCCCCCACACATGTCCCATAGGTACGCCTCATAGTGCAGAGGCGCAGTAGGGCCGTGATCTGGAGCTCTCGCATCGACCCCAGTTGGCCCGGTAGATATGATGGGGGCCGAGTAACCCCTATGTCGGTAAGCTCCGTCCACGTCAGCCACGATGAACGGGAATGCCATATTGGCTGGTAAGGCTGGCAGACTAGGAGTCGGGACGAACCTGGCTCGTGTGGAGACCCGTCTTTCCATTCGTCGGGACATGTTCCTTGCATTGAAATGTCTGATTTAGCACCTCGGGTACAACATCAGAAGACCGGGGTGCCACGTAACTCTGGTCCTGTACAATTTTCTGCGCTGTCTTTGTGGCAGTAACGCGTTACGCGTCTGCCCTTGGGGCCCTCAGCCATGTGTCTTACTTTGAGCCTTCTTAGAGAATAGCACACGGGCAAGCTTCAATGGAATGACCTCACCATGCTAAGTCTATCCCAGCGTAAAGCTTTCTCCCCACAAATCACGCGGTATCCATGCCCCGAGAATTCTCGTTCTTGGGGGCTAGAGCTTAAACCGAGTCAAGCTTGAGGAAGATACACTAGGGTCGTAGCCAGTTTGTGGCGTAGATCGCAGCGTAACGTGATGACGGCGCACTGTTCAAGCAGACGAAAGCCACAACAAACTCCCGAGCCAACATCGACCGCGGAAGTTTTCCTTTCCTTCTCGGTGGGGCATCCTGCACAGTTTCCTGTCTCTCGGATCCGAGAATACCCTCTTGTTTACGCTCTTCAGGTAAAATAAAGGATGCCTGCATGAGCCTTAAGATGAGTCGTGAGTCGTAAGCTTCTGTATAGCAGAGCCCTTCCTTCGGGACAACCCCACAAGAAGAAAGGTCTGGAAAGGGGCCTTTACGCCCATTACGACTGCGCGCTCTGCAGAAGCTCGACATGTATGGTCTTCGCCGCACCAAGTCTACGGCCGATTCGGCACCGCCTTCGGGTTGTGGGCGTCGGTGAGCTCATGAACTGTCATCCACCAAGTAATTCTGCTCGCCTCTCCTGAGAATGTTCCGGTCTTCCAAGGCGGGTCATGCCGTCTTTCATCAAAATAGAGCTCAAAGTCGAAGAAAGACGGGGCCGCCGAGGACCCGCCCTTCCTCCGGTGGCAGAGAGTCTAAATCCCATAGTGGGGCTAGTCCGAGGTGATATCGGAATCGTTGCCGATCATGAAGTGGGGTCTTCCCGAGCCTTTAAGCCAATGACAGCGCTTATTTACAGGCTGTGTTGGTAGGTTAACGAGACTGTAGGCGAGTTGTACCACGCGGACGAACGGTAAGAAATATCTCTACGAGTATGTATTTGACATAGGAAGCTTGCCTGAGTAGTCAAATAATAAAGATCTCGTCCTGATTATGGTAAGTCTCGCCTGCGAAAAGAATGTCCACCTGCGCGGAGCAGCCAGCTTGGCTCAACCTCGTTGAGGGCCCCTTCGACATCTTCGGAGCTTGGTGTCTAGCAGCTCATGACGTGTCGTGGTCGCAGATAGACCTGCTCAGGATACGACTTCCGAATAAGGTCAAGTATGCATGGATAGGCTGGAGCCGAATTTGAATGCAATTGGGGCAGATGCATGAACGTAGGTCCAGACCGGAAGTTGCAACCATATTAAAGAAAATGACAGGCGGCAATGATGGGTGATCGACGCGAACGCCCTTCAAATGAGAAACGTCCATTGATGAAGACAAGAGAGTTCAATTTTCACACATGCTTCACGGAACGAGTTGATGCCGGCAGGAGAGTGATGTCTTGTCACTCTTGTGCAGAATCTCTCCTTCACGGTTCGTACACCTCGGTCGCGAGGTGTGGATTTCGTAACGTGTAATATTACTTGATGCCAGCCATATGAGCACCCAGCAAGACCGCTTTGCGACGGCTACAAAGGTGCGAACAGGAGCTTAGGTCAGCGATCACGCGCATTATCAAATCTGTCGTATCCTGAGCCAATCTTCATGTCTATCTGGAAGAATACGTAATGAAGTCACGAGAAGGCGTACTTAGACATTGCACCTACGCGTATGGAGTAGAACCAAGCCAAGCAAGTACGACTCGTGCGAAACAACCAGCTTCCAATCGCGGACATGCATTTGGCTTGAAGTCGAACTGTCGAATTCATCTCTAGAACCCCGAAAGCTCAATTTTCAGAGCACCACTGAACTTCAAAAATGTTCAATAGCACTAAGTCAATCAAGGGAGTACAGAAAATCATGTGATTACTGATATCCTGCTGGGTCGGATCAAACCAACAGTCCATGGTGGATGCTGCGGTACCAACGAACTGCCCCGGTAAAGGCGGCTGCGTGACATGGAGCTTCGTCACTGCAGGCGCTTCACCCGAGCACCTCCCACATTCCACCGACTCGAGAAAAGTGCTTGCTTCGAAATTAGAAGGTCTATTTTGAAATTTTAGGCACAGTATTGCACCGCACAGCCGTGGTTGTGCGAGAAGACGCCAAGCGTGCAAGTCACCCTTCACAGTCGTGATGGACGTCAGCTCACATGCCTGAACCTTTTTGCTGGCATACTGAAGGGTTTACACCCTCCAAGTATGTCAGAGCTCCTAATGCAAAAAGAGGTGTATGTAGTGAGCACTTGGAATATTTCAGCTCCCGATCCAGATCCCTTCGTATTGAATGCGTAGAAGAACGGAAGGGCTCTGGAGCTTCATCGTAACAACCTCGGTTATTTGAGGAGCCCCTTTAGGCTCAGCGCGTCGACAGGCCTGAGTCGGAGATTTCGGAGAATTCATGCACATACTTGACCTAGCTGTACGGATAACGCTTCCAAGCAACTGACTCCCGCTTTATCGCAAGCACAGAACTTGCCTCCCCGACACATCACTGGTTTGGCACTCTTGGATTGTCCACCCGAGGCTTGAGCTGCCGTAAGCTTTGAGCAGCGTCAATAGGCACGTAGAAGATGGGAGAATCTCTATCCTAAGAGACCATGAGGGCTCCAGCTGCGATTCAGGGGTAATTTGAGCGGTGGCCAAAGTCCCAGACGTGCTGGTCGCACTACTTTGACTCTCATGCGCCACCCCGGCGGTTCTCAGTTCTCGTCACAACTCAGACCCATGGTCTTGGCGAATTTTTGCATTAATTTCAATGCAGCTCCATGGATCAATTGTGCATTTTGCAGGTTGTCGGTGGCGTCCCGGGCTCTCGGGTCGTCTGCGCCGTGTTGGTGATTCCCCGCCCGCAAGTTTGCTGCCAAGAGCAAACACACTCGATCCTTCACAGACACCTTGGCCCATGTGATGTCTGCTGGACATGCATCATCCCTGGTGAGCATAACAACATCGCGACCAAACTCATGAGCTGCAAGATTCTGCACTTCTATCAGTCGCCAGAGTGGATAAAGATCTCGATCGCTAGGTTATATTTGCCCCGGTTCAACAACAAAGCTGTTGAGCGGGAAACAATCAAGCCCGAGGGCTGGGGAATGCGCGGCACCAGACTCACTGCCAACGTCTCAGCTATAGGCAAGGTTTGATTGGTACTCAGTCAAGATGAGTGGTGTGACCCTCTAACAAGCTGGATGACGGACTTTCAGGGGGTGAGAGGCACCGACGCTCTCGGTATGAGCTGTCAGAATCTCAGATTGTCTGTGTCTGAACCGGCCGGATGTACGAAATAGGAAGGTAGAGGGCCTCTTGTTTGGTCCAAGCAGGCGTTGCGATGCACTTGTCTTGAAACTATGACATGCAGATCTGATAAATCCCGTACTCACAGGAGACCGAGGGCCAAACGACCAGAAATGGCTCTTCGCAGAATGGCTAAGTATGTCTGTATTAATGATATAAATATTGCTAGCAATCCCATCAGATTGACTCTCATGAAGGCTGTAAATCTTTGAAGATACTTCTTTATACGGCATACCTCAAGCCTCCACCGCGTTATCAAGCTTCATTCCATCACAATCTACCTCTTTGTGCTTTCAATGATGCAGCTTATTCGAGTGATCATTGCCCTTGGTGCCCTCGCTGCCCCTATTCTTGCGGCCCCGATCGACTCCAAGGCCGACGTTAAGCCACGATGGTTTGACCTCAGCCCCTCGATTGCCTCTTTCGGCGACGAAGGCCCCGTCGAGGACGCCGACGCTGGTGCTGCTGACGAAGCAGCGCAAGCTAAGCGCAGATGGTTCGACTTGAGCCCGTCTATTGCCTCCTTTGGTGATGAAGGTCCAGTCAAGGACTCTGAGACCGGTGAAGCTACCCCCGAGTAAAGTTCGTCGGCTGCTCTACCTTACATAACCTTCACAATGAGTCTGACCGGAATTCATAGTTCGATCAAAAAGATGGATCAGACAAGCAGATTCAATGAATTTGAAGGGAGCAGTCATATGATGTTCGCGAATGTCAGCAGCCTGGACGGTGTGTGGCGGGTAGAGTTGGTAGATAGGTTTAGGTAACTGTAACATGCGGTATTTGACCAGATATTTACCCGTTCTTGACTCAGGCCCGTATAAATTGTGGTATACTATACCTTGAAGGTGCAAGGTGATCACAGCCTCTTCCATATTACATGCATCGAAGCCATTTGAAGCGCTGCTCATTTGAGCAATTCGAGCGTTCTGCTCATACCTAGGTATTGATGAAAGAGCCTGGCCATTTTAGACGAAAACGCCCACACACATATTATCACCATCCTAAAGCATATAACTTATGTTCATGTCCAATATTTAATTTTGATCTTGCGTTCGGTTTTCGTTCATGTACAACAAGGTGAGCCTCCGAACTCTCTTGTGCCATGCCCAGCAATTTGGTCACCTTCCTCTTTTGCACCAGATGATAATCCCAAATGCTGTGATGAAATAGCGGCACAGCTTTCCTCGCTTCGGTTGGAACTGGGATTGTCTCCAACGATGATGGCACAGAGGCTGTGCCACCCTCAGCTGCTAAGCTGAAAATGGTTTCGTCGGCAGAGAGTGTTGACTGAACAAACAGTTACAAATTGGTTAAAAGACTAAGTCTTCAAGGGTACCCCACGCAATTTCCCAACCTACTGGGTTCTGGAAATGACTTTGACGAGGTGGCGTATAGCTAACTTTGTCGGATGGCCCCTTTAGGAATGTGCCTTCTTATCTGTTTGCTTATTGTTGGAACCAGCAAGACATTTCGGACCTAGCCTGATTCCCTGCAAATTACGAAAACTGCAAGTTTGCTCCAGCCGCGCCGAAGGATTCAGGCGACATCTTCGCGGGTGGTTCTGGCAAACATCTGCATCGATCGATTGAGGGGTTGGGCGTCTGGGCTTACCTGCGCCATCATCGCGATTCGCGGGGGTGCTGCAAGACAGCTGGTATTGTCTCGACCTCCTTGATTCTTCTTCTGTCTCGTTATATCAGAGAAACTGTCCAGGTCACACTGTCACCCCTCGATCGTCGTTGAAACCTCCAACGACTTGCGTATTCGGCTTTGAACGCACCTTTCGTCTTTCACCATGGGATCAGGCAAGCCTGAATCTAGTAGCTACAAGCTTCTTTCAGATGATGAGAGTTCTGTCGACAACGGCCACGTCTGTGGCCGGTGCGAAACCTCCATTTCCGAGGACCGGCCCTCGAGATCATTCTCGACGTTGAAGCTTATCCTCGCTTTTGTCTTTTGTCAAATACCCATTCTGCTTCTGAGCTTCGCGGTCTTCCGGTATATACTTCGAAGCAACGAGAGGACCAGCGAGACGTACCACAAGGATGATTGTGAGTGTCTTAAGATCAATGTTTGATCTTCAACAGTCTAACGTCAAGCCTGGTAGACCTTGCATTCGAGAGGTACAATGCGACCGGAACCCCATATAGCATTGTCGACGCAGCGGATCCGTCGAAAGACGCGGACAAATTCTGGAATGATTTGAAGAGATGTAGGAGCCCCCTGAGGAGACTAAACCCGCCATCATGACACTGGACCGAGTCTTCAACTCACGCCTCTTTTTCTTCAGACACCGGTATCGTTACTGTAGACGACACATGGGCGGAGCGCAATCATCTCCCGCCCACTGTCAAATACCCTCATGATCCGCAACTTCGAGTTTATCAAGTAGGCCACCATCTTCTTCTCTCTCATGAATGTGTATAGTGTAATAGCTGACCGTAACTCAGGTGAATGTCTTCCACTCTCTCCATGAAGACCAAATTTTCGCAGCGACCTTACTCTGAAGCTAATGATGGCAGTACCGCATCCGGAACAGGCTGATCTCGAATGTTTCGATGGAAAAGTGGCCGCGCAATGACATCCATACGATGCATTGCGTGGACCATTTGAGAGAGGAGATTATGTGCAACGTCGGTGAGTGCATTTGCCCAGCCTTCACGAGATCAACGACAGTCTTTTCGCGAGGATTTGGTCTGATTAAATCCCACAGACGTTTCGATGTCGGGGTCAAACGAGTTTGTTGCTTTCAATAATCACAACCATGACCGGAAGTGTCGAGACTTGGCCGCGGTGCAAAGGTGGGCCCAGGAACATACTTGGCTTGGCTATAAGGATTACCTTGAAGTTGTCATTGGATACGACGCCAATGAGGCCGAGCGAGTTAATATGGCACTTGCAGGAAAGGGCCAGTAGAACAAGGCGAACAGCACCCACAACAAGGAGACCGGGAAGATCGAGGCTTGGTTTGAGGATCACGAAATCTCCAGCGGACATTAGTTGTGCAGCCCAATCACGCCTCAAGGCTTTTTCGCAATTCATTTGTAAATCCAAACATCTAAACACTATGTCTAGCTTGAAACTTGAAGTATTTTGCGGTATGGACAGTCGAACTCATCCAGATGGATCATGGAACTCTTCAAGGAGAGACACAAACCTTGCACAAATGTGGAGCATGACCACGCATAACCTTATGCAAATTTCTACGTCATGCGCTTAGTCATCACAAACCCGATCGCAACCGACGCCAAGTTCTGCCGATTTGGACTCTCGCTCCAGAAATACGGACTTCGCCAGCAAAGGGAATGATGATTCGTAGTTGTAGCAGCAAACAATGACGAGGCGTCGCGATGACGACACCACCACCTACGACCCATACACCGGCCTGTTGCCCGTCCTCCCTCCGGATGCGCAGCTCCCGGACAAGAACCCGCGCAGCAACGCCGCGACCGCGGCATCGGCAGCCGGCGTCCGCGCCCTGAGCGCCCAGGTCGTCGCCTTCTACTTCCGTGCCCCGGTCAAGGCCTTCTTCCGCACCCGCGTTGACTACCTCGCCTACGCCCGCAGTGTGCACCAGGCGCAGACTGAGCTCCTTGCGCAGGCTGCTGCAAAAGAAGGCGGTTCAAGGCTTCATCTGGGACTGCGGCAGGCATGGTTCTACCTGAGGGGTACGACGCCCGGTGTCCTCACCTCCGCTGTTAAGCAACATGGCTGGGGCGTTCTCCCGCATCAGGTACTGCCGCCGCTCATCGCGAACGTCGGCGTCGGAGCGGTGCTGTATACCAGCTACCTCACGATCCTGGGAGCCCTTCATGAGCCGAGCAGCAAGTCAAGAAAGACGGTCTACCCACCGCCGCAGCCTTACCAAACTTTCACGGCGGGACTGCTCGCTGGAGGCCTGCAGAGCTTTGTCGCTGCACCCTTGGATGCCATCCAAGCGAGGTACGACCATCGGGATCTCATGACCGGCCAGGGAGGGAAGCCAAAGAGCATGTGGACCTTTAGCGCCGAAAAGCTGAGGGAGATCGGGCCGCGGGGTATCTTTGCAGGCTGGGGCCTGTCTCTCACCAAGGACAGTCTGGGAAGTGCCATTTTCTTCAGCGTATTCGAATACGTAAAGGCACAGGGCTACTACAAGTTTGTTTCCTGGTATTACGGCGGGTTGGAAGAGCACATTGTCGACTTTATGGCCCAGAAGCGACCAACGACCAAGGATGCCCTTGGGGAGAATAACCAACCACTCATCATCCGCCCTCACTACGCCATCGAGCCAGCGTTTTTACTACTCGCCGGAATCACCGCCTCAATCACCCAACAAGTCGTCCTTCACCCGTTAACACACGTGCAAGTAGAGCATTGGGACCGGTTAGAAGAACTAGACGCCAAAGCCGCCAAACTCCGCGAACTCAAGGGCGCAGACCCGAACCATCAAAAGCAAGGCTGGAGGATGTTCAGGGCCTACTATCGCGCGTATCAAGAGACGTGGTCGGAATGCTGCCTGGAGGCGCAAAAGGAAGGGCTGAGCATGCAGCGATGGCTGTGGCGCGGTTTCTGGTGGAACACGATTCGCCAGGTGCCGAGCACCAGCGCAGGATTGATCATTTTCGAGTTGGTACGGCGCAAGTACGGGCTGGGCAACGAGGAGGTTCGGATCATGGGCGACGGGTACGATATCCTACTAAACTAGAGCATTCGGCGGGGGGCGGCGCGCGAGGCGTTTGTGAGACTATGTCGACGATTCTCGACTCTGTTACTGCTTTTGAAAGTATGTACTACATAGAACAAGAGACTATGTTCCTCTCTTCACGTAGGGACTCGCCGAGGAATAATGTGACTCTGAGGCTCCATCTGATGCCGAGACCGGGTAATCATTTCCAGGAGGCTTGCTGCATAGCTGCATGTTGGGCTGATGCGATCAATAAGGTTGCCGCGTTTGCGTCGGACAACCTGGGGAATTGGAGAACTGTGGTTCATCGGATGACGTCGAAGGGTTGGGCAGCTTTTAGGTTCTGGAAGAGCAATGGGCCCCTCACTTTGTTCTGACAACAACCTCGAAGTATCGCATTACTGAGAAGCTATCCGGATCACACAATTCATGATGGCAAACATACCTGCATCCGACAATGTTGTGCGCGTGAAGTTGATCGACACGTCCACCGCCATGGTCGGGGACATGACCGCCTTCGCTAGGCCAGTGGTAGCGGGGCATGAGGTCATCAACTTCTGTTCACTGGCTTTTCTTCTCGAGAATGAAAAGTTGGGAAAGAAGGCACTGTTCGACCTTGGTACGCGGAAGGATTACTGGAAGCTGCCCAAAGCCGTGCTCCAGCTGATTGGGAAAGGATGTGTGATCTTTGGGATGAGGGTGGATGAGGGCATTGATGAAGTTCTCACGAAGGGGGGCGTTGACTTGAACACTATTGGTAAGTATCAGAAGCTATGAGAAAATCAGGCGACTAGCTACTTACTCAAAAACAGACAGCTGTATCTGGTCGCATGCTCATTTTGACCATCGCGGTGACATGGCCCTCTTCCCCAAATCTACCAAGCTGGTCATGGGCCCCGGGTATCTTTCTGACAAAGAAAGACCCGGAGGAGTCGGTGATCCTGAGGCTGCGGCGGAGTTTGAGGGCAGACCGCTCGAGGAGGCGAAATTCGACAGCGGCTTGATTGGAAAGTTCAGGGCTCAGGACTTCTTTGGTGATGGGTCGCTCTATCTTCTTGATGCCCCTGGTCACCAACCAGAGCATATTTGCGCACTCGCACGAACGACTCCCTCCTCAGCACCCGGCGGGGCTTCTTTCGTATTCTTGGGCGGCGACATCTGTCACTTTGCCGGTGTCTTCCGCCCAACGGCAGAGACGCCGCTACCGAAGGAAATACCCGCGAGCGCTATCTCACTCCGTAACGACTGGGCTTCGAGATCGGTTTGCCCATGCTCGTTCTTCACCCCTCATCACCCTCGTGCGGAAAATGAAGACTCGGCTCGCACCTCCTCATGGTACAATCTCCCTGATGGTGGGCACGTATACACAGATCTCGAGAAAGCCTCCGCCTCGGTGTCGAGAATGAGCGAGCTTGACACGAGAGATGATGTGATGGTCTGCCTTGCTCACGACGCAAGCTTACTCGATGTTCTGCCTGTTTTCAACAAGGATCCTACGAGAGACATTAATGACTGGAAGAAGGAGGGCTGGAAGGCAACCACGTATTGGAGCTGGTTGAACGAGGTAGCCGTTGACGGGAAGAAGCCCCGGGAACCCGTTGTGGACGGTTTCTGGAAGGATGGGAAGCAATGGGACTTTGAGGCGTATAAGTCTGCTCTGTAAGACGGGGTTCTGCGCCGTACGAATCAATCTTCCGTAATGAGTTTTACTGCATTCACAGATTGGAGGGATGGTAGCGAATTCGATCGTTATTCTTAACCTAAGTATCTTCTGTGGCTAGTCCGAATCCATCCCAGTCAGATCAACCACCTCTATTTCGCGATTTCCGTACGCAAGGGTCTCAGTGTTGGGGCTTGAACCCTCCAATCCGCTGCCAAGTCTGTTGCGTCTAGAAGCCACTTCGACGCTTGGTGATGAGCAAATTTCGTCTTCTGAACTACTGTCGCAGTTCATGGCGTCCGGACTTTCACCAGTGGTGGCATCAAGGGAGCAATCGTCCGTGAAGTGCGAGTCCCCAAACTTGCTTACTCGCGTGCCAATCGGTGTCGGGTGGTCTGTCTCTTGTGCTAGCGACGCATCCAGCATCTGCGTTCGACGAGATTCTGGCGACAGGCTCTGATCCGAACTGCCTTTGCCGACCGTCTTGATGTCCACCCCCAGCATGAAGGCTTGCAAGCCACCGCCCATGAGTCGATCGATCCAGTTCAAAGTATGCATGTCATCCGTCGTCAGTAGGTCAACCAGTAATAAACCGACGATGATCACTGTCCATGTCGTAGTCCAGAATGACACCCGCGAGATGCAGGCCATGGTCATAAACTCTGCCAAGGCAACAATTCGCCAACGCTTCGGGAAGCCATCCTTCCAGAGCCGAATGGCATCAGAAGCAACCCTTTCGACAGTCATTGGCGATGTGAAGACGCTCCAACGTCTCGCCAGCTCCCAGTGGTTGAATTCTTTCTCGCTGCCACTGAATCTGCCCATGTTTTGCAATCGCTGGCCCCAGCCGGGCAAGATCTTGCCGTTGGAGGTCCAAGGTTGTTCTCGGCAAAAGTCTCTCCACCGTTCAAAAACTTGGACCGCATGGTCCTCGTTCACGTCGAAGTACTCCTTGTGCCTGGCCCCGCAGTTGCAGACCCATTGATGTTGGAAGTTGGCCAGCTCCGCGTGAATGAGCTTCTCCGCAAATCCGTGGAAATTGATCTCTTCAGCCACTGCACTGGCATGCTCTTCAACCTCCACGTGAGCGCAAACGCCTTTGATCTGGGAACGGCGCCGGTCGGGATGTTTCTGTGTCCTCCCAATCTTAAGAAGTTCGACGTCGGTCTCCGTAGACTTGATTTTGTATAAGTAGATGGATCCAATTTGCGTCTCTTTCCCCTTATAGGAAGGGCCATCCTTAATGAGCTTTGCTAGATTTCGATCGATCTGAAAACTCGAGAGCTTCTTTCGGGCAGAGCCAACATCGCTTGTGCCTCTTTCGGGGAGATCCGGGCGCTGCTGGCGTCTTTCTGCCTCGTCACCCATCTCTGGCGAGGTGTGAGAAACTCCAAGTGGCGGTCTAGATTCATTGCTTGATATCCTCTTTTGTTGAAACGGCAGAGGTTCTAAGGCGTAAGAAGACGCTGATGAAATTGACCTGACTCTAGGAGCTGGTTTTCGGCTTGATGTGTCGATCTCAATATCGGTCCCCTGAAAGGAACCGACACATGGCAGGTCTTCATTGCAAGAACTCTCGATGTTTCTTGCCGAAAGTTGACTCGAAGCACGCTTTCGTACTCTGTGGGGGGCCAGGCCGGGTTGGGTCGGGGCTAGCGAAGATGACTTGGAGCTCAGTTGATTTGTGTCTACGGCATGGCTTCGTCGTCTAGGATTCCTGATAGATGGCCGAGGCGGCGAAGCTCGCTTCTTGGCGTCCGGAGAGCCGTTATTCTGGCCATTAGACGAAGATTCGAATGACATCATCTCGCAGTGAAATAAAAATGGGCGTTCAGGAATCAGGATGATCACGACGATGCCAAGTGGCTTTGGTACATCTTATCACGGCAGTTTCCTATCCTTAAATACGTTGGTTCTGAATATCTCAAGGCAGACTCGGTCGGAGCTGGCGAGTAATGAAACGCTGTTGGTGACCGGGGTTGAGGGCGGTTATGTTGGTTTGGGGAACTGCGCCTCCCCTTGTTGGCCCGTATTTGGCGATAACCTCCGCTTCTGCATATCGAATCTTGACTGTTACCAACACAAAATGCACACTCCTATCATTGCGGACCATTGGGGTCCGTTTCAAAACCCTGTCTTCTAGCACGCAATGCCACGATGCCTTGCTGCATGGCGTCCGCAGCATGCTTGTCTTGAGGGGCTGGTGTGCGCGGGCCAGAACAACGGCCGGCCAGGGGGATGAGGGCAGTGTGTGAAGGAGGCCGCCATCATTTCTAGCCTCTGTGTTGACGCTGTTGTCAACGCCCGGTTAAAAGTGGAAAATCGTGCTATTATTTCCAGGCCTGGAAAGTTTAATGTTGCCGTGTGTGGCTTCTTACATGCCTCCTTTGTAGTATGAAATTGTTGCCATCGTTCAATCCGTACTAAAGGGTTTAAAGCTCTTTGGTTCATCAAAAGGCTTCCGCTATTCCCGTATCGGTATAGTTTACGGGGAATGGCTGAGCTAACTAGTTCTTTTCCCAAAACCGCAGAGTGATTACTTCAAACAACGCCAGATCTGACTAAACAAATGTGCAATGAGCAGTCTCACCTCGCCTCGGGATGCCACCATTTCACGGTGCCCTGAGCATGGAAACTGACGGTTTGATCATACCTACATTGCGCAATTACCAACAGACCTTATAGAATGTATTTCAAGCGAGAATTTATCCATAGGCGCTACTTTCTATTATCTTAAGAGATGTTCCAGCTTCCCACGCGACGCCAATAAAATGGTTTGACTGAAGAATCTTCGGCGTGTCCTACATGGTTTTGTTGTGAGTTCTTGGGTGATGCAAGGGCATTAGAGGCTATTCATAAGCGTACTATTAAATTGACCTCATCGCTGGCGTGCTTGGGCGTGGAGGCTCTGGGGTCCGGTTTACAGCTGGATCTGCCTCATCGTAAACTATACCTAATTCGGCACGCCTATTAAGAGACAGGTCCCGACGCCATGGTCGAAGGATTCAGGGATCAGCGTCTGTGTGAAGGCTTTTTTCTACAACGCTCGCCTAAATGGTGTGTATCTCAGTCACCATTAGCTGGCAAGTGCCGAGGCAGATCTGGGAGAGTATCTCGCCATGATGTTTGAAAATTAATATAAACCTCCTAACCTCGAAGTCATTTTCACCTTTGGCTCATCTCAACTACAACCTCATCAGCAATCATCTTTCATCCAACTTATCTAACATCATGCATCTTTTGCTTCCTATCTTATCCTTCGCGGCTTTCACGCTGGCGGCTCCGGCAGGCAACTTGCCGGTGGTGGATCTTACCTACGTATGCAGCCCCAAATACCGATAATTCTTGAGGTTGCTGAGCCTTGACAATGCTGACATCCTCCCAGGCATCATATCGAGCAAACAGTTTCAATGTAGGGTTTAAATAACTCTGATTCCGGCTATCAGCAACTAACTTCCATCCAGAAGACTGGTGGCTATTACAACTTCTCGAACATACGCTACGCAGCGCCGCCCACGGGCCATTTTCGCTTTCGTGAACCAATTGCGCCTACCGGACGGCAATGCCACGTCGACAATGGGGACATTGGGCGCGTGTGCCCTCAATCTTCCGGAAATTGGTCTCTCATAGCTACCCAGTTCTCGAAAGCCTATCTCAACAGCCAACCATTCGACTACAATGCCGCGATGGCTGCCGTCCCCAAGAGTGATGCCATCGTCAGCGCAGATTCCCGCACCACCGAGGATTGCCTTTTCCTCGACGTCATTACACCTCAGGCGGGGTTTGCCAAGAAAGACGATCGCTTGCCGGTCTTGATCTATGTAAGTCATGGTTTGTCTTCATGAAGTCGATGTCTCAATCGGCAAGCTAACTCGCTTTCTCTGCAGGTCTATGGCGGTGGCTACTCGAGCGGCGACAAGACAGGTGACGGTGACTTCAACCCCGCTGAACTTCTGAGAATAAGTAACTCGGGCTTCGTCTACGTGTCCATCAACTACCGACTCGGCGCCCTTGGTTGGCTTGCAGGCAAGGAGGTCTCTGCCAATGGGACCCTGAATGCAGGGCTCTATGACCAACGACTGGCTTTTGAATGGGTCCAACAGCACATCCACCTCTTTGGTGGTGACAAGCACAGAGTGACTGTCATGGGAGGTTCAGCAGGTGCCGGGTCAATCATGCATCACCTGACAGCCTTCGGTGGTCGCAAGAACGAGTCTCTCTTCAGCCAAGCCATCCTTCTCTCACCCGCATTCCTCCCTTCGCCGACGATGGTCAGCGCCGAACGAGCTTTCAACAACTTCCTCGCCCTCTTGAACGTCACATCTCTCAGTGAAGCCCGCAAATTGCCCAGCGAAGCTCTCATCGCCGCGAACGCCTTTCAGATCTACAGCGAGGCATCGTATGGAAGCAATATTCATGGACCCGTCGTAGACGGCACTCTCGCTCCTGCTCTGCCTGGTCAACTACTTCTAAACGGGACATTCAACAAGGACATTCGGATCATGACGATGCATAACACTTTAGAAGGTCTTACCTTCACCAACCCAACGATCAACTCGTCCGCTGACTACCTCACCACGGTCACGTCATCTTTCCCAACGATCTCCAAGGACGCGCTAAAGTTCATCAACACAACCCTCTATCCTCCCGTATTTGATGGATCTTTGGGGTACAAAGACGAATTTCAGCGGGCCCTGGGCACAGTTGAGGACGTCAACATCATTTGCAACACCCACTACATTGCCCAGGCGTTCAGTGATAAGGCTTATGCACGTAAGCAACACCATTCACGCATTTGATTTCCGTACTTTCTTGCCTTCAACACATGTAGCCTCCGCACAGAAGCTTTGCTAATACATTTGAAATCCAGTGCGGTTTGCAGTCCCTCCTGGAATTCATGGCCAGCAGACACCTTACGTCTTCCGGAACGGTGCAACAAGCGGCGTCGTCCCGTCAGTAGCTGACGTTCTCCAGCAGTACATCGTCAGCTTCGTCACCAAGTCGGTACCAACTTCGTCGAACGGCACTGAGATGCCGGTGTACGGTTCAGAATCCGTGTTGGCCAATCTTGCAACCAATGGCACCTCTCTGCAAAAGGATGACACAGCAAACCAGAGGTGCACATGGTGGCAAAAGGGGCTGTTCGCCTAATGTCTCTATATGGCTACCATAACGATGGTTTCCGGGATGTTTCAGCCTTCGAGAACAATGCTGCATGCACGGTAAATAAGAGAGGTGGTCTGTCTTGGTCTACCAGAAAGGGATATTGTAATTACGTCCTTTGAGAATTGATGGTTGTTCACGTCATAATCTTTACTCCAATTTGCCTAATTGGGCGTAACGTGTGTCCGCCCGATCAATACGTTGCTGACAGCCTGAGGGTGTGATGCAGGTCACTGCCATCTCCGTATGGTGTGGCTGTCTACGTCTGCCAAGATTGACGTATGCTGTGCCACAACTCAGCCCATCGTCAATCAAAAGACGTTTGCCTCCACTATTGTTATAATTGATAGATTTCTCAACTGCTTAAAAAGAGAATATTGAAATTGACGGTCATTCTTTCAGCACCTCAAACTTCAAATATTTCACCGTTGAGACGGCCACAAACGATATTAATCCAAGCAACATGAGACAAACTCCAATGGAGTCAGAGCATGAGTATGTGTAGTCGATCTCAATTTCAGCAATGCTAATGTTCAGAAGGAACAAGGGCAAAACGAGTAACTCCCACGAGGCCACGCCATTGGAAGAACTAGACGGCGACTCGCCGCAATGGATTGACTGTCCGTACTGCTGCAAACGGGCACAAACCTCAGTCTCCAAGACAGGGACAAAACGCCAGCTGTAGGATTTGAATACGTGTAGTATTGCTGCGTGAAACAGAATGGTAACAAGAGAACAGGCTTCTTCGAGTGGTATCAGGTTTCTTCTTCTTCGCCGTACTTTGTGTTCCGGGTGCTATAGGATGGCTTGAGGATGTACACTATGAATGCGCCGAATGCCACAGGACTGTTGCAACGAGGCCGCATAAAGGGCCAATGAAGATCTACAAGCCGGCCGAGAAAACGGAGAATAAGGGACTTTGAAGGCCTGCGTGATGGAACAGGTCTTCTGTGGTTTCACAAGAAACAAAATTGCGTGGGATATTTTTCCAGCTGCATTTCAGTTTGTCCCCATTCTGATTTTCTTCGGCGCGTGATAATTGTTTAGACGTCCTGTATTATAGATGATGAAATATCTATCATAGCGTAAACATAGTCGACTTGGCAAATCTGTCTTTGAATCCGCTAGACTCGCGTTCTGTTCGGTGCTATTAATGCAACCAATTTGGAGCAAGAGAACAGGCATGGCAACCACAAAACAATGGTAACTTTTCGTGCCACCTCTACTTATCCGGTCAGGTCAGTACAAACCTCTTCGCCTCACATTTGCCATCGTTAAGTTCTTTCAGCACCTCCCCTTTCATGATTCCGGATACATATGTCTCGCCCACAACCTCGTAGTCAGCTGCTTCTCGGCCTCTCAGTATGAACGGCACGTGAGAGCCGAACAGAACGACGACATTATCACCAGTCTCCGCCCCCGCTGGCGCAAGGCCCATGTACCCCTTCTTAGTGATAAAGAAGCGTCGGCCCAGTGCGTATTTTTCGAGCTGAAAGTCTGCATCGCGCTCTTCCAGTTGTGGTATGATAGAGGGCGACTCTCCGTAGGCTTGGAAAGCAAGTTCCCGCAGTCGGGCTGTCTCTTCCTTGTCTGGACTTAGCAAGCTGTGCTCCCATTTGTACCGCCGAGATTCGGCGGTCTCTCTCAAAGCCTTCTTGTCAAATTGGCAGCGGCTTTGCCAGTACGGGTCTGGGACAGTGCTGGGGAGGCTGAATGGGCGGTGATACAGATCGTAAGGCTGTAGGCTCCACATGTCTGCCAGTCGCTGAAAGCTTACCCTCAGCTCCTGCAATTCTTTGTCCGAGGAGGCCATGGGCGGCAACGCTGAAGAAAGAACAGCCTCGACAGTACTTCGACTTGCGACTCCTGCTAGGTCTCTGCTTCGAGACTTCAAAATTTCTTGGCGCTCCGCAAGTTCTGCTTGTCGTGGATTCCGGAAGGTTACAGGTGGCTCCCCTATAATCCAGTCCTTTGCCACTTCTGGGAGACAACCTTCAAAATCGTCCACCGAATGATACGCCTGACCTGCAACGAGACTATCCCAGAATGCTGCATGCTGCGCCTTGACAGAAGGATAAGGTGACGTGCGTCGACAACCTAGGGCCGCCTGCTTGCACTTCCCAACAGCAACAAGAAACACTGTTGAACTTTCCCAGCTCGAATATAATTCCCCTATAAATGGTTCGTGTATCCATTCAATTTCGTCCCAAAGAATGCCCTCCACATCCACTGTGTTTTTCGCATTGTCCACGAAGAAGTTGTATTTCGAGTCTCCCCCGGCCGCGTATGCAGGCCGCTTCTTTTTATCCTCGTCGAACCAGCTGCGAACAACGTTTCGCTGAGTCAATATCTGGTTTGATTTGCTGACATGGTCGGCAGTCTCGTGCATTCCCAGGTTGGCCTCTGGATCGATGTAGTGCTCGTCATGGACACCTGCAAACACGAGCCTCTTCTGGTCAACAAAGCCTTGGATTTGATCCACCATTTCGCGCGGCAAGTATCTTGCCCACTCCTGTGGATCATGGCTGACCTTTCCTCGTTTCAGGACCCTTTGCGCCTCCTTTTCAGCAAACCCATAAGATCCTGGGATCTCGATACTGAGTACGCCTTCCTTGATTCCAACCACTTGTGAGACTGCCCGCCAAGGAATGTCGCCGTGAGACTTTGCATTACGGCTTGGAAGAGGTATGTCGCACCGTTTATGAGACCAATCCGGGACCCAGGATGGCAACATCTGGCTGCCGGAATGCATTTTGTGGTTTGATGCTTCTGTGCAATGTCTCAAAACTTCCAAGCCTTTCGAAATTTTCATCGAAGCCGCCGCGAACGCAATGTAGATGTCTCCAACAGGTTTCTTGTAATCAACTTCGAGCCCTGGAAGGATGATGCTGAGGGGGAAAGAGACCAAGCCCAATATGCCATAGATCTTGTCCCGAGGATCGGTTGCGTTGAAGTGCCGATATTCCACAACGAGTCGGAGCATCTCTGTTGCATCGATCTTGCCTTCTACCAATTTGCCAAAAAGCCGCTTGGCACTCCAACGTACGTAGTCCAAATGTAGAGCTTTTTCAACTCCGGCGATAGTCTGACGATGCATAGACTCATCAACTTTGATCCTTGCACATGCCATCACCAGCAGATTCCACTGTATCGCCACTTTCCCGCAGCGGAGAATTACCGAATCGGCCGTCAGCATCTTCCTCATCCCGCCGCCCCAGCAGATCTCTTGGACAATCCAGACCCGCTCCCACCACGGTCTGCTAAGTAGTCCTTCTATCGCCTCACACGTCCGCGGAGCCAATTCAGGCATTGCTCCATACGGTGCCTCCGTCGCGAGTTGTGTCAATGTGTAAATGGCCAGGTCGCTATTCTCGCTCTCCGATCCAAGCCACACCGTGATGGCGGCACATCGGAGGTATACAACACCCATTATCATGACTTGCGAGTTTCGTTCGTCGATGTCCTGCTGGTTGATGCACAACACATCTACCCAAAGCGCCACTTCTTTGTCTTTCTGTCGACGCTGTCGGAGAAAAGAAGCCAAGTTTGGGGTTATTTTGAGGTAAGTGTTCTCATGAAGTATGAGCATCTCGGTTGCAGCCTCCGTTCCCCACGTGTAAGAAAGGGCTTCATAGTTCATATCTCCGTTCACAGCCAGATTTGATGTTTCCAAGCAACACCGGAGCGGTTCCATTGGGCCATCAGCTGGTAAAAGGTGTAGAAGACGGATCTCACCGCGTGTATCATCCCAGCGAAGCGGCATGTATTGGTATGGTTGGGATGCGTTGGCCAACAAAGGTTGCCCTGAGTTCGCGTTCGTGGGCTTCATGATGTATGTTGAGGGAAAAGGTCGGGTAACGTCAGTGGTTTTAGATGCAGTTGGCCTGCTTCAAGGAGAGCTGAATAAGCAATCGAATACTCAAAAACCCAGGATGTCGCTGCAACCCTTTATATTCTTGAAAGCGCGTAACTACGCGCCAACACCAGCGGATGTGACCCCTTACCATGCAGGCCACTGAACCAACAGCATAACAACTGACCAATTATAAGTTTATACATTTGTTTTGGCCAATCATTTAACCAGGGAAAAAAGGGGATGGAGACTGCTGCCTCCGCAGGCAAATTAACGTCTACGCACCCTCAGCGCGGAAAGCTTCTCCACAGACGCTGCACAATCTTCGGCGCACGGCCAGGCATGAGGTAAGCTGTACGATTCGAAATGACTTGGAAAGAATTTCCGAAGATTCCGTATCAATTTCATGGCAGAATACTGAGTGGCGTTGCCCCGATGGCATCTGGAACAAAATCATTGGGGCCAAACTAGGAGCTTTTCAAACGCCGAATGACCACTTGGTTGTCAGGGGCCACACTCCATATCGGCCGATGGTAATGGCTTGAGAAACTGTTAAAACAATTTAGTTCTGCGACAAAATTGCTGCGGAATGAATAAAAGATATTTATGTGCTCGCGCAACAAAGCTTGCGCTGTTCACCACTACTAATAACCTACTAGAAAGTTGAGTTTTCAAGCAGCAAAGCCGGCGAGGTCATCAATATGTCCTCCGGAACAGAAAGTGATCTCGAGGCTTGTAATGCAAAGGTGTATTCGAAATTGCAATTCGCAAATCCGGTGAGATCGAATCTCCAATCTACATACTTCCAAAGGCTAACGAAGACTGCTTGGCAGGGCCCGTTTGGCTACGGGGCGTTCTCGACGACATTGATGACCCTATCTCTGTCCATGATGGGAATTCGGAATGTTGAGAACCAGACTGTGTTCATAGCCAACCTCTGTTTCCTTGCCGGAATCGGACTGCTCATCTCTGCGCAGTGGGAAATGCTCAGGGGCAACATGTTTGCTTACACGACCTTGATTGCATTTGGTGAGTTTACTACCTGTCGCGTTTTGATGCTCTTACTGAGGACCAAAGCCTTTTACTACGGTGGCTTTGGTTTTCTTCTCATCCCTTTTGTGGGCATCGTGGATGGTTATGGAGGCAAGACGGCGGAATATCTCAATGCTTTCGGCTTCTATCTTGCTGGTGAGTGATCCCGTCTTTTAAGCTGGAGGAAGTGATGATAACATAAGGCTTCCAGTGTGGTCGCTTTTCAACTTATTTTTCTTCATCGCAGCCTTTTCAACGCAAGTTCCTCCCTATGAAGAGCTTTACCACATGCTGCATGCTGACCGTAGCGAAACTGAAGCAATATCGCAAATGTCATCGTGTACGGCGCACTCGAGCTCTCCTACATTTTCAACTGCGCCGCGAACTTTGCCTTTGCGGATGGCCACACATCTTCCGGCAAGAGCTTGACGAAAGTCGCCGGATCGTTCGGATTCATTGCCGCGCTGGCGGGATTCTATGCCATGGCAAGCGGCTTCTGCGGCGATGTGCTGCCGTTTGAGATACCGTTAGGCGATCTCTCGCGGTTATTTGCGAGAAGCAAACTGCGTGGCACCAGAAGAAAAGCCACGTGAGGCAGTAGAACACGCCGTTCTTCGTGGTCTGCCCGGCCAAACGCCGTTTGCTGCCGATGGCCGAACGGCGCCGGGGATCCACAATCGATCGGCTTCTGCCGGGTCCTGCATCGGGATTTGGCGTCTCATCCGCATTATTCGGTTTGGTTGTTTGGTTTCATGAAATGGCCATATGAGCAGATAGTCTGCAGCAAGTATAATAGAATGGCTAGTTGTTTTTCTTCATCATGCTTCTTGTCCCCGTCCAAAGTCTTCCGTCTCCTGCACAAAATAGCTTCGATGCAACTTCCGGTATTTAACACGGCAATGTCAAGCCCCCCAACGCACTCTCAATGTCATATGGAATTGACCTACATTTTTGGAAGGCCGATGAAGCCGAACTCCGACGGAGTCAACCAAGCATGCCCGCTGCTCATCCCACTTGTGGGACACAGGCCTCCATCGTGGTTAGCAATGACTCGGCTCTGATTGACGAGGAAATTCATTTAGGAAAGAAGATAGGGGCGTGTTGGTGAGCCGCCCTCCCGATCCCGCCCTCCAAGGCCGAAGCCGAACCATTCAAGCCGAGGACCGGAAGCCGAGATGGGTCGTGTGGGGCTGCCACCCCCGAATCCGGCCCGCCTCCGTCGAGTGTCAGCGCTGGTTACCCCACTTTCCAGCCCATCGACCCCCATGCCCGCCCCCTCCTCTCTGCAAACTTGTTGCACACTTCCTCCATCTAAACGGACTCTGCAGCGGGAATAGACACACTAGCCCCGGGGAATAGCGGATTCACCATGCTTTAGTGTCAGCCCGCCCATCCCCCTCCGCGCGTGAACTGCTGGGGCAGCAGACAGAAAGCCTGCCGTGCCGTCCATCACATACATACCCGCTATTGCGTGATTGGGTCTCTTGCAAATTTTTGATAAGTGAGCAAAAGGGGGACGGGACATAGTATACGTTACGCCTGGAGAGCGGGCGGACGCCGCCATCAGAGATTACATGGTCAAGTCAGGTAGGTAAGCCGTAACAGGCCTCTGGTGCAGTAGTCGCTGGACGGTTGCTGACCTCTCGTGAGTCACAAGACGGCTCAGCGCTGACGCCGGGCCGCGACCGGCGGCGGTAGCGGTAGAAACGGCGGTGGACAGCTGTTGGTGGTGGCTGGGAAGCGGACAGGACAGCCAAAAGACCCCCCTCTCGATGAATTGAGAAGGATTTGAGAGGGGGGCGGTAACAAGGAATCGGCCTGGGGCCGCATGCCTCGCCGGCTTCTTACAGCGCATTGCAGTGTGTAGGGGAGCGGAGAAGTTCAAGGTTGCCCGCCGCAAACCGGGGGTGGACCGTGGGAAAAAAAAGCTGCATGCGGAAACCAATTCTTCACACACTCTCTCTCACTCTCATACTTTTTTCTTTTCCTTTCATCATCTTTGACTCATGACATTGTGTCATTGACTGGAATGGACCCTTGAGGCTCAAGTCGTAAAGTTTGGGATTACATGTCATTCTGCGCAGGAGCTTAGGTTGCTTGCATACGATCAACTCAATTGCAACCTCATTGTGTCTTGGCCCAGGATTCACATACATCTCATTTCAAGGTTCACCCACCATCCTGCTCATACGAGCCTCAAACTCTGTACACAATACTAACTCATGTTCAGTTTTCAACAACATTGAATCCTAAATAACACCAATCAAAACAAATCATGGCTCCCAAAAAGGGGACCTCGCCGTCCTCGGACGAGAGAACGCCCCTCCTCCCCTCCATCGAACACCAACCAGCAACGCCCCTCCCCATCGGCTCGGAAACCAACGCCATCCCACCAAACGAGTTCGACCTCCTCCTCTCCAAGTCCCTCCCGACCACCGGCCCCTTCCTCGAGCCCGAGTCCACCGTGAATCCGCTCCTGCGTGGGCCCCGCCGCTACTCCAAAACCTCCAACCGCCGCCCGTCCCTCGCCAGCCGCTCCGACCGCTCCGACTCCGGCCTTGAGACCGCCGTCACCGTCGCCGACGACGATGCCTCCGACGCCGCCAGCATCAGCAGCGTCGAGTCCACGCCTTACCTCAACGGCATCTCCCGCTCGCGCTTCTGGTTCATCTTCGCCGAGATCCTGCTCACCTACTTCATCGCTTGCTTCGACGGCACCATCATGGCCAGCAGCCACCCCGTCATCACCTCCTACTTCCACGCCTCCAACAGCGCGTCCTGGCTCTCCACCGCCTTCCTGCTCACCAGCTCCGCCTTTCAGCCCCTGCTCGGCCGCCTGTCCGACAGCATCGGCCGCAAGCCGCCCTACGTCGCCACCATGGCCATCTTCTGCGTCGCCACCGTCTGGTGCGCCCTCGCCCAGAGCATGACCAGCTTCATCCTCGCCAGGGCGGCCTGCGGCCTCGGCGCCGGCGGCATGATGACCCTGGGAAGCATCATCGTCAGCGATCTGGTGCCCATCGAGTGAGTCCCCCTTTTTCCCTCGTTGAGTAAATGAATGATATATCCACTAACACCACCCCTCCTAGAAACCGCGGCGCCTACCAATCCTACATCAACATGATCTACGGCGTCGGCTCCGCCCTCGGCGCGGCCCTCGGCGGCGCCATGGCAGACCACCTCGGCTGGCGCTGGGAATTCGGCATCCAGGTCCCGCCCCTGATCATCTGCTGCATCATCGCCGTCATCGCCGTGCCCGGCGACCTCGGCCTCCCGCGCGGCGCCAAGCGCGAGACCCTCGTCGAGGCCCTGCGCGCCTTCGACTTCAAGGGCTCCGCCCTCCTCACCACTGCAATCACCTTCTTCGTCCTCGGCCTCAACCTCGGCGGCAACGTCCTGCCGTGGTCCCACCCCGTCGTCGTCGCCTCGCTCGTCATTTTTGGGGTGTCCTTCCCCGTGTTCTTGTACGTCCAGTCGTACGCCGGACGGCCCATCATGCCGCTGTACCTCGTCCGCCACGCCCCGAGGGCGAACCTCATCTTCTCAAATTTCTTCGCGGCCCTGCTGAGTAACGCCATCCTGTTCAACATGTAAGTCTCTGCCTTTCGATCCAGACTCCCTCCCTCACTAACACCACGCTCCAGCCCCCTCTTCTTCCAAGCCGTCCTCCTAACAACAGCAACCTCCTCCGGCCTCCGCCTCGTCCTCCCCTCCGTCGTCTCCTCCATCGTCGGCACCGCCACCGGCTTCCTCATCACCTACACCCGCCGCCTCAAATGGCCCCCGCTCTCCGGCGCCTCCGCCCTCTTCGTCGGCTGCCTCGCCCTCTCCCTCATGCGCCGCGGCTGGCCCTCCTGGCTCTACCTCCTCTGCCTCGTCCCCTCCGCCGTCGGCCAGGGCTTCCAGTTCCCGGGCACCTTCATGGCCGTCCTCGCCGCCTCCGACCAGCGCGAGCAGGCCGTCGTCACCAGCACCCTCATCCTCTGGCGCTCCCTCGGCATGGTCCTCGGCGTCGCCAGCAGCAGCCTCGTCGTGCAGAACGCGCTCGTCGGCTACCTCGACGAGTTCGTCACCGGCCCCGACAAGGACGAGGTCATCCGCAAGGTGCGCCAGAGCGTCGAGGAGGTCGTGAAGCTGCCCGAGGTGTACCGCGAGCAGGTCGTCATGAGCTACGAGGCGGCGCTGCGGCTGACGTTCGTCTGCTGTACGGCGATTGCGTTTGTGTCGGTGCTGACGCTGGTGCCGATCAAGCTGCCCAGGCTTGGTTCGCGTAAATAAGGGGTACTGATGATACTGTACATGATTTGAAGCACGATGTTGAGAATGATATATAAAGCATAGCATCAAATGGCGTTAGCTGGGATCACATAATAAAAATTTCAATTTGCCATGCCCAGGCGTTATAAGCCAGCCAGCCCACCACCCCGGTGTTTTCACAAAAGACCCAATCGTACATTACAATACATTCTAATAGTGTCCGTTCACCCCGTTGCTGCGGAGCGCGTCCAGCTCCTCCTTCGTCTTGCGGTAAAGCTCCTGCGCCTCGCGCTCTCTCCTGCTGACGAATCCGACCTCGTCTCTAAGGGCACCCAGGCGCCGTTGGATGGCGACCTCTTCCGAAATGGCGAGGGTCTTGAAGCCGCTGAGGGCGTTGTTGGCCTTCTCCAGAGCCTCGGCGGCCTCGCCAATCTTGTCCTTTAGCATCTTTTGCCTCTTCTGGTAGCCGCCGAGGTGCAGCGCAAGCTTCTTCTCCAGCTTGATGCCCTTCTCGGCGGTGGCCACGATGGCGTCTTGAATGGACTGTGACATCGTTAGCTAATGATTCGTAGAGATCAATTCGTCTCTGGACTTACATCAAAGGCATCTCTCATAGCTGCCTCTTCTTCCTCCTCATCATCGCCGTAGCAGCCAAGTCCCAGAAGCAGGGAGTTCTTGCCGCGGTTGTCAAAGGACTGTTGAATCTCGGCCCGGGAAGGTCTGGGGTTGGTCTCACTCAGAATCTGCAGGCGTGCCTCGGCAAGATCGTTGTCGCTGATGGTTTGCAGGGGAGGCGGGACACCGCTTACGGTAATCTTGGGTGAAGGGTACTTGACTGCGTCGTTGGCAATCAACGCAGCCGCCTCTCTGGCAATGAGCGCCTCCGCCTCATTCTTCACCTGGCTTGCAACAGACAGAAGTGCAGTGACGTCCACCTGGCTTGGCCGGGGTAGGTTCTTCTGCATGACTTGTGTCCTTCTCTGCATCTCCAGGGCGTGCTGTGCTGCCTTGTACTCGGCTTCTCTGCGGTCTCGTTCCGCAGCATCCTCGAGCATCATCTCGTCGGTTGCTGCGAGCTCCTTCTGCTCATCAGGAAGCTCCAGCTCCCATTCAGTATCTTTCGGTTTGGGCAAAGACGCCAAGCCTTGTCGTAGTTGACTCCGCAGAGCCATGTCTCTCATCTTCACGTCTCTCGGGGTGGCGCCGACCATTGTGCCGTCGTTGGCATTCAACGCAAAGCTGTCGCGGGGCGTCCTCATGGGGGTCTGGCCAACCCGAGCTGGCGTTTGACCAACGCCGTTGGCATGCATCGGCGTCGCCATGGGGTTGGGTGTTGCGACGGTTTGCTTGCGAGGCGCAATGCCATCGAATCCAGTCGACTCGGCACCCTCGTGCAAAGGGGTGTTCTCACCACCAAGCAACGATGACTGCGTGTTGGTCAGAGCTCGGATGTTCCTGATCTCGTTCGCGATGTGGTCCTCCTGCGCCGGTGCTCGGGGTGTCCTGATTGGGGCGCTATTGTTCAACGTCGAGTACTCGCTGACCAACCCACGTGTCGCATCGTTCTCGCTCTCGCGCGCCATCATGTTTGCCCTCTCACCGACCATGCCCATCTTGACAATCTCTTCCAGCTCGCCCTCGCTGACCTGCGGCGCAGGCAGATTCAGCGCCCGTCGCTTGCTGCTCTGCTCGGCCTCGCGGATCTTCTGCATCTGTCCGGCCTTCATGGCGGCTTGGAACGACGCAGAAGGCGGCTCCTTTTCCTTCTTTCTCCTCTTGTTCTCGCCATCCTCATCCCCGTCACCCTTGCGCTTGCTCGCAAGCTGCTGTTTTCTCGGGTCGAACGCCAACCGCTGCTGCTCGTTGCGCGCCTCCTCCTCGGTGGTATCGTAGAAACCGGGCGCGGCCTTCTTCTCGAACGGAATGTCGGCATTGTAGTCCATCTGCCCCTTCTTGCGCGTGACGACCTTGATGTTGATGCCGGCCGTCTTCAGCTCGCGCCGCTTCTGCAGGGCAGCCAGGCGGCGCGACTCCTCCTGCTGGCGCTCTCGCGCCTTGCGCTTCGCCTTCTTTCCCTGTGTGTTTGCGAGACGCGCGCGAGCCTCGCTCAGCATCTCCTTCTCGTCCTCGTCGAGATCGATCGTGTCGGGGCGGGCAGGCTTGCTTTCGGGGTCGGGGTCGACTTCTCCGGGACGCAGTCTCCTGACATCATCGGCACTGGGTGCTTGCGTCTCGCCGCCTTCCGGGCCGGTGAGACCAAAGGAGCCAGCCTCGCGGGCTTCGGCTTCGTCGAGGAGCTTCTGGTAGCGTTCGAGGCACTGGTTGGCGGTTCGGCCGACGATGGGGGCGATGGTGCGCCATTGCGTGGGCATCAACTTGGCGAGATGCAGCAGCTTCTCATCCTCCTCCTTGCTCCACTCAATCTTCTTGATGCTCGGGTCCAGCCATTCGTTCCATCTCGCCTTGCACTGCTTCGGGGTCTTGCGGGCGAGCAGCGACGAGACACGCGCCCACTGGTTCAGGCCGTATTTGGAGACGGAGGCCTTGAGGATTTCATCCTCGATGTTGGTCCAGACACCTCCCTTGACGACACCCATCTTGGAAAGTTCGGTGATGAAATCGGGCGGGCGGGTTGTTGCAAAAGTCGATGAAGCCCGTCGCGAGGGCGTTACGCGATGCGAGCAAACGTGAGGCGATCGTAAAGTTTTGGTACAAGGCTGATGGGAGTCCTCACTTACGTCAGCAGGAGGCCCGCGTGATTGGCTCCTGCGCAAGTCCGAGGATGCAGCTCACCGAAACTGGCCGACCCACACCGAGTCCGATCTGATAAAATGTCTCGGTGAGGTTCCCAAAAGTCACTTACGACCACAAGACGTGAGGGTGCATGGAACTCAGCAACGATTGGACTGTGCTCCGCTAGCACCTTGATAAGAGCAGCCGCATTCACGAAGTCAAGTTGTCGCCCCCTCTCTTTCCTCCTCAGCGCCGCCGAGGCATAGTTGCATCCACGCGGCCGTCGTATTCACCAACGACGATGTCCCTTGCGTGGCCTACATGTTAGTCGATCCTTCTTGTCGATAGTGACGAGCTCTGAGCATTTGCTTCGCAAGATGGCGTGGCCTTGGATCGCTGCAGAGAGGTGGAGTTTGCTTCACCAGCTGACTCGGCGTGCAAACGCCCGACGATAGGATCACTTTTTTGGAAGACGGCAAAGTGCTGAATGCGGTAAGTAGATTACCATTTTCCCAGCACAGCAAAGCGGAGCGGAGTTTGTTGGCCATCAAGACACCACATGGCGGACAGCACACCACCCCGTGGACAGGGCGATGTGCCGTCGGATGATGGCAAACAGATAGCGAAGCTGCAGACGGGGGCAATCAACTTCTCACAAAGTGCTTTCGGATCACCCTGATGTTCTTCTGGCGTTCTAGCAAGTCGGAAACCGGAGCGTGAAGAGCAGCGGCTTCAGACGAAACCTGGGCCAGCCCAGGCTCGGCAGAACAGAGTTCGCAAAACAGGGCAGACTTTCAGCCAACAGATGGAACTTCCAGGACAGTGGCACCGCGGGACCGGTCCGCCGGTCGGTGCTGAAACAGGCCGACCACCGAACCTTGTCGACGGGTAACGACAGGATAAATGCCGTCGGCCTCTGAGGGGGCGTTGGCATTGGGCGTTGGACTGTGTTCCGTTTTTGGATGGTGAGTTTGCGCCGTTGTCAGTGAGCCGCTGCTGTCAGGACTCAGAGTCTCGGTGTTCTGTGAGAGGATGGTGCTCTCTGACTGTGTGGACATTGTTACGTATGCTGGGTCAATCTGACACGTGTTTTGACGCGGAGTCGTGGTTATCATTGCTTTAGGGTGGTTTGGGTAGTATCTGGGTAGCATTTGCATTGCTTGCTGGCGCATCAGTGACAAACCCGACGGCCAGTGACAGCACCTGTTGGTCGTCCAAGGTGGAAGAGCAAAGTGGCCGCGCGGGTATCAGGAACGGGGAAACATCAAGCTTAGAAATCAAGCCCCGGACTGCGGTCGAGTCGAATCCCGGTTCGCGATGGCTGCGACTGGACTAGCACTCATTGGATGCAGTGCCCCTCACTAACTGTCGGCCCTGACAGATCTGGATGCTAGGGATGCAGTACACACCTACGGTACGTAGGTAAAGTAAAGAAACTGCTGTTAGTGGCTGCGGTCAGTGAAGAGTAGCCGAAGGGTGGCACCCCTTATCGCGCCCATCTCTGCGAAACTGCGTCATGGATATGCCTGGCATACGCCAACTCATGCGCCATCCGTCCCACGAGATTGGTTCGCACTCGTCGAGAACCCCAGGTCCGGCAGGCACGCGGGCCATCGCTGGGCAGACCTATGGCAGGGACACTGTGGTTTGCGAGGACCTGTTTTGAGGGATTGATGGTGGTGACGCTGGTGATGATGATAGACTTGTTAGACGGTGTGTGATAGAGGGAGAGGGCACATCACTGCCCTTTCTACCTAGGTACCTACTGCATGGGGGTTCATGCTGAATTGCCCTGTCATGACCGCAACATGATGAACGTCCGCTGATAGAGTCGAGTCGAGGTCTAAGGGAGTCCGCGGCCATTCCTCCCGCATCTCTCTCTGTCTGTACCAACAAAACTCCGCCTGTCCACCGGCCCCAACGAAACGTGGTTAGGCCGTTGCGGCGTTGGTCTGGTCTGGTCTGTTCTCTATTTTGTCACTTGAGAGTCTTCTTCTGCCTGCGCCAATAGGAAGAGTTGGCGCGCACTGCTCTGACCTTGTCTGCTTCACTTCTGGATTCCCAGCGTTGCGCAGCGCATGGCAGCGCCCATCGTCGCCTCCCCGAGTCGTACGCATCGCATCCCCGGCGGTGCGTGGTGCCCTTAGGTTCTCCATCCGATCATCACCCCCTGGATCCCTACCCGCGCTGTCCAGAAGTTCCGGCATCCCAGCTCTTGCCCCCCATCCCACTCAGTCCCCAACCCCTGTCTTGTCTGCTGTGTCCAGTGCGTCGTTCCTCTGTCTCTGTCCCTGTGTCGCCGCCCGGGCCCTTGGCTCGATTTCATCAGCGTCCATCGCTGTCCCACACGCGCCTTATCTCTCAATGTGGACAGCGGCCCCCGGTCCCCAGCGACGTAAGGTAGCGTAGGTACGAAGCTCGCAGCGGGCTTGTTTTCTATTTCTTTTCTCGTTTCCATTCCCATTCCTACCTCTCTGCCCGTCACGGCCTTGGTCATGTAGCCACGGCCCCTCCTCAGCCCCTCCCTCTTCAGCGATTTCCGTTTTATCTTTTCTGTTCATAATTACTGCCTCCCGCTTCCTGCGAGAGTGTGGCTGAGAGAGACCTTGCTGTATCACCAAAAGTGCGATCCAACAGGAATGGCATCGTGGCAGTGTCGCTGCGAGAACTGAACCGGCCCCCAACATCCAAGTCCGAGAGGGACGAAATAGCTCCGACGCCCGACGAAAACAGCTTCCCAACATCCTCAGCATAACTTCTTCGAACCGCTCACGCCCTCTTCTCGTCCAGCGAGAGCTCTAGGAAGCTTCCCAACCTCTTTGCGACAAAAACAACCCGTATCTGCCAGACAGCTCCAACCCGGCGCAAACATGTCAGCGCCAAAAGACGACATCGTCGTCACCCGCGTGGACCGCGACACCCAAGGGAAACCCATCCACGAGGCCACCGAAACAACATCGCTGCTCAGCGCCGGCGCTTCAGGCAGCGAGACCTCCTGCGAAGACACATGGCCCGGCTACGCAGACTTCGCAGACCTGCCCTGGTGGAAAACGCCATCTGTAGGACACCACCAAACCTTGCCGGCCCGTGCCGCGGGCTGGCTGATCATCATCCCTTCTTCTCTCGTTGCTGACAAGCGTGTTGCGCCAGGTCTACTGGCTCCTCCTCCCATATGCCCTCTTCACCCTCGCCTTTGGAGGCTCCCTCGTGCCTAAGCTGAATCTGTATGTTGTTCGCCAAAGTGGCTGTTGTGCGTGAGTCGGCGCGTGTCGCAAAATAGTCGCTAATGCCGTGCGACTGCAGAATCGTGGATTTGGTATGCCAAAGGCACTTTGCGGACCAGACGGTCCTGGACCCGGCGTTCGTGTACACGCCCGTCGTGCTCGGGGCGGACAATCCGCAATGCTTCATCCCGGAAGTGAAGAAGCGTGTGTCCATGTTCACCCTGGCCATTAATCTCACCACCGGTATCTTATCCGCCATCACTGCGCCCAGAATGGGTCACTTGTCAGACCGTTATGGCAGGAGGAAGCTGCTCGCCATCGCATCCGTCGGCGGTGTCGTCGCCGAAGCGACCGTCATCCTGTGCGCCAACTTCCCCTGGACCTTCCACTACAACTGGCTGCTCGTCGGCGCCGTCGCAGACGGCATCACAGGCTCCTTCACCGCCGGCAGCGTCCTCATCAACTCTTACACGAGCGACTGCACCCCGCCCTCCAAGCGTGGCGTGCGCATCGGCTACCTCCACGCCTGCCTCTTCACCGGCCTCGCCTTCGGGCCCCTGCTGGCCGGCTACTTCGTCACCTGGACCGGCAGCCTGCTCTCTGTTTTCTACGTCACCATGGGCTGCCACATCGTCTTCATCATCTTCGTCGGCTTCGTCGTCCCCGAGTCCCTCAGCATCAAGCGCCAGCTGCGCGCCCGCGAGAAGCACGACCGCGAGCAGGAGGCCAAGGCCGTCGACAACTCCACCTGGGCCTCCATCAAGGCCGCGAACCCCCTCGCGCCCCTCAAGGTCCTCTACCCCCGCGGCCCCGGCACCTCGTCTCGGCTGCGCATCAACCTGCTCGCGCTCTCCTTCACGGACATGATCCTCCTCGGCGCCGCCATGAGCGCCGGCACCGTCCTCCTGCTGTACTCCGAGTCCCCCGAGACGTGGGGCTGGGGCACCCTCGAGAGCTCGCGCTTCATCTCGGCCGTCTCCATGGTCCGCGTGCTGGCGCTGCTCATCGTCCTCCCGACCATCAACTACGTCTTCCGCGTCCGGCCCGCAGCCTACCGCCGGCGCGTCTCGGGCGTGTCCATCGTGGAGTCGAACAACGGCGCAGACACCGTCGACACGTGGATCCTCCGCTTCGCGCTCCTGTCCGACGTCACCGGCTCCCTCGGCTACCTCTTTGCCAGGAACGAGGCCGTCTTCGTCATGTCCGGCATGGTCACGTCCTTTGGCGGTCTGGGTAGTGCCACGATCCAGGCCGCCATCACGAAGCACGTCCCGGCGGATCAGGTCGGCCAGCTGCTGGGCGCTATCGGTGTCCTGCACTCCTTGGCGAGAGTCCTGGGCCCCATTGCGTTCAATACGCTATACTACTCGACGGTCGGCACATTCGACCAGGCCATCTTTGTGCTCCTGTCCGCCCTGTTCGGACTGGCTTTGGTGGCCGCCTTCATGGTCAAACCTAATGGTAAGTCTTCTCTTCCCCGCTGACGGAACACCTTGCTAAGACTTTGCAGTTTATCTCGAGGATAAGTATGAGCCTGTCGGCAGCTCGGCACCAAGCAATGCGAGCACCGAGATCCTGGCAGAGGTGGCGGCGGAGGAGGAGTTGATACCCAACAACTGAGACATTTGCATCGGCGGAAGTGATGTACGTTGAGTTGTGTCATTAAGCGGGCAATACCGCAGAGCAAGATACCTAGAAGATAGACGTCTGCGCCCATGAGCGCTGAGAGAGGTGGACAGAATTATCTGTTTAGAGTGGCAGGGTCGACCTGTCTGATACAAGAGTATCACCGATACCACAATACACTTTTTCTTTAGTTTATTACAATGATTACCCCCATAAGTGAGATATGATTTGAAACTGAGGTGAGCAGTGAGATGGGCTTTATGCTAGCCTGTGGCCTGGCACGCTGTCACAAACGCCCTCACATCAACAATAAATACCCCAAACTCGTGTGGTTTGTGAGGTGCGCTAATGAGTTTCACCGCACGAGACACAAGCAACTCAAGTGAAAATTTCCCCATGCTTCATTTCTTGGTAGACCTCGCATCTCACAAGGCTTCACTGAGAAGCTAGTGATCCAGCAGGTCTGCTTTCGGCATCATTTGCAAACATGAAACCATCCTTTTGGGGTATTGCCAAAGAAAGCAAACCCTCATTGAATTGGCCAAGATGTTACCTGTGGTGACTTATTTGTGCCTCTTGAGAATTTGTGCGACGATCACTCATCCCTGCGGATGTGAGCCACCCTTCATAAAGGCTGAAGCCATTCCCATCAATGACCTTTCTCAAGAGTCTCTCTCCAGTGATTGGGAAGGGAGTCTCGCCCGCGGTCATCACTGACACCAGGAAACAGTCAAGATGGTACGTCAACCAACTCACCAAAAACCTCACTTAGGATACTCACACACCGCAGAACCTCCCAGCCTTCATCCTCCTGCTCCTCCACGCAGCCCTCACCACCACATCCCCCATCTTCTCCGCCCCAACCGCCTACGAATCCGCCAAAGCCCTCCTCGAAGAAGGCCTATCCCTCACAACCCCCCACCAAAACAACACCCACCTCCTCACCCCGCGCCAGGCCTCGCCCAATCCAGGCCTCCCCGCCCCATCGCGCGCCTGGACATGCTACCGCGGCGGCGACTCCTCGCACGGCGTGCTGCAGGCGATGCACGTCGTCTTCAACACCCTCTTCGGCGCGCCGCGCCTCAGCGCCGGGCCCAACCAGTGCCACGTCGCCGTGTGCGGCGCGTTCCACCTCTCGTGGTGCAACCTGGGCGTCGAAGCCGGGGATGAGAACGCCGGCGCGCGGGATATGGCCGTCGCGCAGGACCCCGGGAGGGGGACGATGTGCATGGCGGCCGTGGAGGGGCTCGGGTTCGACCCGTACAAGTTTTACTACTGGGGACGGGTCGATGCGGTTTGGACGCCATGGTATGGGGGTGGGAGTACGGTCAAGACGTGTTAGATCGTCTTGTCGGAATAGTTGAGGTTAGCTTCGAGTTGTAAATATTGTGTGGCTGTGTACAGCTGTTATGGGGATGACCCTTTCAATATGGGGCTGATGAGAAACACAAGCGTTTCTTCAGGGAACCACCGCTCCTGGTGCCTATCAAATCTAATTAATTTACAGATATGTCTGTACATACACTCAATCCTCGGGGCATGATTTTAAGTCAGACTGCTTGTTGTTACCATGCTTCGTCCTCGTTCTCGTTCCCGTTTCCGCTGTCGTCATCTCTCTCGCCAGCTGCCAAACGGTGTTCGGCCCCGGCTCGGCTCGGTTTCGGTGGCAACCTCGGAAAACCCGGATGCCTGCCCCTGCAAGGTTGGACGCATACTTACGTGCCCCCACGCCCCCGCACTTGCCGCCCGTCATAAACGCAGACTTGACCCTTCTTGCTATCATCCGGCATGGTGTAGTGGTTAACATACTCCGCTTTCACCGGAGAGCTCCGAGTTCGATTCTCGGTGTCGGAAAAGCCATTTCTTTTTGCGATTTTTCACAATGTCTTACAGCCTGGTGCCAGGGGAGTATCGTTCTTTTGCCCATTCAAGCGCCCAAACGGCTAAAGTGCTGCTGCCAAAGAAGCTTGTGGGCGCGGTTGTTTGCTACGCATGTGCGGAAATACAGAGTTGAGATGAACATGGACGGTCAACAGATGTCAGAAGCCGATAAGACTCCATTGCGATCGAACAAAAACAACTTGCGAGCGAGACTTCATTTCATTACCTGCTGTGATCGGATATTGAAAATCGCTGACCTTTGCAGCCATAGTCGTAGATCATCGGCCAGGCAGAGCTCTTGAAGATGATAGACCCCAATTTCGCATACCCAACAAGTCACAAGTTTTGTGACAAATCTTTACATGGCGTTGATCTTTCCGACTAGGCCTTTGAACCAAACAAAATACGTAATCCTTGACGAGGTCGTAGTAATCAATATATTTTCACTCAATTCCGCGGCTCAAGTCAGCCACCGGCAGCGGGTGTCCATAGAGACGCATTGCCTGCATCCGCTCCTCGTCCGTCTCATCCGTCACGCGCGTCGGCTCCCGCCCTCCAATATGGGTGTCATACCAGTCACTGTACGGTCCGCTGTTGACATCATTGAGGTACTCGCCGGTGTCAACATTGATGATTCGAACGCGGGACCTCACACTCCAATGCTGGTAGTTCTCCTCGATCCACTGCGTCCAGTCAAGGAGGTCACGCGTGTGGATGTCGAGGGCTTGTAGCGCTGGATGATTGACCAATAAATCATGGCTCCAGAACTCGCGGAGTCGGAGGTCCAGCGATCTGAAACCACTTTCCACTCTCAGGTAGCGGACCGAGGCCTTTTCGGGATTGCGAGTGATGTTGAAGCCGTCTATAAGAATCGTGTCCAGATTCATGTTTGCCCAGATATATCGCGAATCCGGGTCGGTGATGTAATCGAAGGCTTTTCTGTAGCTTGAGCAACTGCGCGACTCGCTGCATGCCTGGATGACGGCAGGCACAGGTGTCAGTGAAATCAATCGTGAGCGCCTTTCAGTGATAGAAAGAATCCGGGGCCATGCCGCCGATTGCCATCTTTGAATCCGTATTTCGGTGGGCAGCAGGGGAAAGAGGACAAACGCCATCATTGAGAATCACGGCCGATGTGGTTTGGTAGGCGCGTTCAAAATAAATGCAGGTGAAGTGAGCATGGGTCACACAATTCAAAATGGATTCCCGGTGCTGGGCTAGCCGTCTTGGAGCGATATCCCCTGTCATCGTCTCGCGGCGCAGGTGCTGAACAGGCGACAGCATTAGCCAGTGAGTGCCGCATTATTTTACTTTATCACATCTGATGAGCGCTTTCTTCCAACTTTTCTTTTTCTTTTCCTTTTGGCTGGAAATCAAAAGGCATAATAAGCCTGCATTACATAGGTCTGATCTACAATGCCTACGTGAAAATTTGCAGAGATTATTTTGGTTTCATCCCACGCTATATATGTGGCCCAGAAATAGTGGTACAGTTTGACTTTCATCTTCAACTTCGAATCAAGTCGTCACACTAGGATCTCTTGTGTCTGAATGAGATTTCGGTTGATCATTCTAAACTTTTTGGCCAACCTTGTCAACTTGCAATATCGGGCTTGTTAGAACCAGAGTCCAGACCTACCGCTTTTCATTGCTTACAAACAAATCAACTCTCAAATGACCATTGTTCTAGCGACTAATAATATGAATGCGACATCGGAAGCGTACCTTTTGATGACAGTGTCATGTTATCTCTTGTTAGGTAGTATAACCAGGATGCAAGATGCACGAACCGCTAGTCGAAGGAATCTTCGCATGGATTCCTTCAGACTGCATGTAGGCAGAAGCAAGCTGCCCATATGTCTCTCGTTTGGCTTGGCTGGATTCCACGGCTTGAAGTTTGGCGGAGAAACCTCTCTCTTTCGCATTTACGGCCGACAACCATAAAGCAAGAGATTTCCAACGAGACTACTGAATCAAGGACGACCTTCCTCAAGCGGTTGACGAGGCGGAGCTTTGAGTCCGAGAAACCGCAATTGCTGTAAATCGGATTGAGACCCTGATGTCATTTCTTGTCTTCTACTCCTCCAACGTTGGCTCCTCGAAGTTCCTCGAAGTCAGGCGCCATTCCAACAAGAACACTAGGCCTGTGCCAGCGGGAACCCTAATGTTGCGGTTCCTGCAACGGCTGAATTTACCGCAAAACGAGCCAGTCAGGCGCTCATTTCGGCTTTGAAGTCTGATTTCAGGCTGGTTAGCATGTAATCAGAAGGTCATACCACGATGGAAGGGGGATGCGGGTGTCTTCCACTGAGACCACTGAACATTATTGGTATCCTAGCGTACATGTGTCTTGGCGGGAGTAAAAAGAAAACGAAGTTCTGCTGTGAATACTACTATCGACTTTGAGGCATGTGTGCAGTTTTCTCTTCATTACATGTATTTTCAACTGAGATGACTCTTGGCATAAGTCCCAGTAATAATGCTCTATCAGTGCTCTGGGGGCCAGGAAAGCTACTGGGGGACTGACCCTGGGTGTGCTGAGCCTGACCATGTAACCAGTGACGATGTCAACGGATACAGATGCAAATTTACCCTTCTCACTCCTCCTATCCCTCCCAAAGAAAATCCATTTTGGATATCCCCTTAACGTTATCCCGACGACCGCGTATTAGTAGCTACAGGCCAATAGTTGTGCTAGCGTGCTAAGGCGATATACCTTAAGCCAAGCACAATATTTTAGAAGTCGCACTGCCAGCCGTTGATGCTAACACCGCCAAGGCCGCTTGAGACGCAGGTACTGATTTCCTTGCAGCCGTCAGAGGGAACTTCAATGCTCTCTCCCTTGTAGGTCGTGATCGTGGCTATAAGAGGATTGGTCAGTATATGGACGCGTTCACGAATCAGACGTCATGGCTCATCACCGCGAAACTTACCACTTTTGATGTCGGTGCCGTAGTTGCAACCATTGGTATTAGCCGAGTGCAAAACGACTTTGTAACCAGACACCTCGCATGAGCTGTCAAAGCTTCCTTGAAGTCTGCAATAGGTTTTGGGCGTACGGTCGGCCCAATCATCGACTGGTGGTCCGTCCCAGTACCAGACGTCGAAGGTGAGACCAGCAGTGCCGCCAGCTGTCTCCGACGCGAACACAGCGATGGCCGCAAGGCTACCCTGGGTGAGGAGGGAAGAGAAAAGAATGGCGCTGGCCTTCATTCTGGGTATTGAAGCGTTGGGATGTGGTCTGAAGATGGGGGTTGTAAGTGATTGCAGATGGAGGTTGTGATGTCTGATGAGACTGACAGCCTTGAGTGAGGAGACTGGCACCGTTTATATACTTGGTTCACTTCACATTGGAACTTGAAGTTTCTTTTAGCTAGATCAAAATCAAATGGGACTTTGGTGGTGGGACTTGCGTGAACTCACTCACGATCTTGTTCACGGAGACACAGGCGTTAGCTTCGTGACGTAGAACTTAGAAGATATCCTTGAACGTTATTTTACGAACATTCCTTCATGGCAAGATCTTCGCTAGCTCATGACGATGGCTTGTTGGTTCAGTGTAAGCAACGTCTTGATAGAAAAACCAACAGAATAGAATGCGTACTCTTGTTGGTGATTTGTGGGTTCAACCCTTGCATGTTGGTGCAAGAGGTGCTGCGCCAGGCAGAATCCGCCCAGCGATTCCCGGATCTCAGCCTGGCCCCCAAATTGCAAAGGTTTTAACAAGGTACTAAGCCCTGCGTATCATGCCACTGCCCTTGGAAGTCTTGCCAGATTAAACATCCTAGAGTTGGAATACCGCGCAAGTAACCCGCAAGCTTAGTAGGGCTTGAGAATCTCCGCATGCCGTCCACGTTAGTGTGTTGATCAAGCCTAATTGATGAACTTACGGCGTCTACAAAGTACAATTGAACTGCCTGCTAACGTCCCCTATATGAGTAAAAGCTGCGTTTCGGGGCTGCGAGTAAAGCTCGCGCCGATGAGATGACCTAGCTCCATGTCACACTGGCAAACTCGGAGTAATTGGAGATCACGCCCCGTAATCGCCAAGCCGGATGGCGGCGAAGCGTTCAGGGCCACGTTTCTGGCTGAGATTCCTGAAAACATTGTCCAGTCTGATATTGGCAAAAGTTTAATAAGTGAGTAGCAATGTTGCCTCACCGTCCATCACATAGAATTGGAGATTTCTCATGTAGCTCTTGCACAAGCAACTAAACACACATTTTAGAGGTGACATTGTTGACTCTCCAATCTCTAAGATAATGGGTCATGCGCTCAATAGAAAAGATCACTTTGATTGACTTGTTTGGCAAAGCTGTCAGGCACGTCAATACATTCCAGGTGCGCTTGACCTCAATAAGTGCATAGAGACGAGGTGTCTTCAACGTCGGGTGCCTTAACTAGCACAGATTCCCACAGGGGCTCCATTGACTCGCCCGGATTGGCTGCTCGCCGTTCTAAGCGCCCAAATCCGCATTTGCGATGCCGCATGACCTAATGCGACCATAAATCAATACTCATGACGGGGAAAACAACTGCAGCTCATGCGAACCGTTAGCCCCCAATGTCAGTTGCTAATAATAGTATAGCGCAGCCACAACCCTTCGGCGGTCCGTTTTGGTTGTCACTAAACCGTCAGGTGTTGAGATTGGGGGCTCTCTTGTTGGCTGTTCTGATTTAAACGCACCGTTGGCCAAGTCCGGTCTTTTGTGGTACACCTCCACCACAGCTCACATCACGTCGGACCATACTCGACAAATCAGCCAGGATGCCCGTCAATCCTCAGATCAAATCTGCCTTCATCAATGTACTACCGCGCGAGGTCCGTGATTCCATATATTTCGAGCTCTGGCGCTCCTGTGGTCTCCGTCAACATATTCTATATCATGGAGAACCAGAGTACCATCATTTCTGCCATTGGCCGTGCTCTATCGAGTTCGATGTTCAGGATCCATTGCAAAAAGAGCTTGAAGAGGTGAGAGTCCGCCTCGGCGTTCCCTTAGGCGAGGATATCTCTCGTCACAGTTGCCCTGGAATCGGGAGGCCTTATGCCAGATATTTGCAATCTCCATGGATGAACCACTGGCCTTGTGGCGAGGTTGCCTATCAGAAGCACGGCAAGGGGGCTTTGCCGGGCTTTGGTACTTCAGCGTTTACTTGTTGGAAAAAAGGCTGCAGTGGCTATGAAGACAACGCCTGGTCAAACCCATATCTTTCCATGCTCTTGTTGTGCAAGACCGTGTGAGTTGCCCCACCTATCAGAAGACCATTCAATACTAACGAACGTAGATCGGAAGAGTGCCTGCAGTCTATCTACAGGTCGACAACATTCATCTTCACCGATATGCCGACTGTGCAGATGTTTTTCGGGTATTGCGAGCTTCATCCAATCGTAAAAACCTTCCCAAAAATAGGCATCACATCACTAGCCTTTTTCAAGTACGCTCGAAACGTGGAGCTCTCGTTTGGTCCGGACTTTCCCCTGCAGCTACTGTGTGCGAATTTCGATCTTCCCGGAATTCCTCGCCGCCACGATGTCTACGATTTCCACTGGTTGCGCCTTGACCGATTCGAGAACCTCCAGACCTTCAACATATGGATCGCTTCACGTTGTAGCTCGAACCGTACCCCTTCAAAATACGATGCTCTCTGTGGCATCAAGGAACTTGATACAAGAAATTTGAGAGATCGTCTTGCGCCATTCAGCTTGATTGGCTCAGTCACGATAAGCACACCCCTTAGCTCACGAATAGCACCTGAAGAGGGTTTTGTGGAAGATGTCGCATTGCCTGGTATTCGACTTTACAAACGAGGGTCCGGTGATAAATTCCATCCAATCTTGGGAACGGTCAACCCAGGAGGCATGTACGACGATGTGATTCACACCACATCTAAGATGTATGAGCACTTGGTTTCTTTCCGACGTCTACTTTGGCTAACACTTTGCCTCAAATAGGGAAGTACGGCTTGGTTATGACGGAACCAATTACGTTTTGATGAAGGATGGTTGAATGCGGCTACTGGCTGTAAGTTTGGTCAGTCTACAATGTGTTTTCCGTCTCAGAAGTTGTGGGGAATTACCTCCGTTTAGGACATAGATAGTTGCTAGCTTTTTCTCTTAAAGAGGATCAAACTTTCGCATGAGACGTATTTTTCGGTCGAAGCCGTATGGTATATCTTCTTCTCGCCATCTCAGCCAGCTCTTAACACATACATACACATACGCGCACGCGCGCATACTTACCCACACCATACTCAAGACAACCAAGCGTGAATACTCACGGCACTAGGGTTTTAGAGCTTTGGTTTATTACAAGCTAGCTCCCCAGCACCAAAAACTAGATGATGTGCAGGTCTGAAGTACTCAAATATTCGCGGCGCGCGCACAGTGGAACGTTCAGATGCGTGCGTTCCTTCTTGGACAGGGACACGTAACGGTTCATTTACACAGAGATTCACTTAGATTTAGGATTTGATCATAATAGACATCAAAGGACAGATCATAAAGTCTCTTGGAGGATCCAATTCACTTCCTTTTGTAGTCTTTTCTCACTCAGCTGACATGAGCTGTTCCTAGCTAAAGGCTATCAACAAAGATCTAAGTTCAGTCTGTATTTGCAACGCGTCGTCAGGATCTAACTGCCTCATCCGGGCTGCCTCGTGCAAAGCCCTCATTCCTACTGTCTCACACAGTCCTCACTTTCCCCAAACTCTGGGACTATCTCAAATCCATTCATATTCATTTTTTGTCGGGATAAAACTCATACCGCAAACAACTGGCATCAATCTTGCCTCCAGTTCCGCCGTTGTTGCCTGTGAGGGTGACACTATTAGCGTATAAAGCTATGCGAATAGTTAAAGGGTACAAGACATACAAGATAGATAGTTGTCTCTCATGATACTATCACAGGTGATGCTCTTATCACCTTCGATAGGAAACTCAGCGCTTTGCTCAACGGCTTCCTTGCAACCGTTGATCCAATGGATTCTCCAGTTGCCGCGTTCTGGTGCGTGCCGGCCATACCAGTGGATGTCTCCATCTCCCTCCTTCATTTTCTTGTTTCTTGCATCAAGGCTGCAACCTATGAAAGACCACCGTTTCTGAGCTTCGCCATTCACATCGAGGTGTTCGTATTTCTTATTGCACTCTCGTATACCGAGTGTCGGCTTCGGGGCAGGTTCCGGCGTAGGTTCTGGGGCAGGTTCAGGAGCAGGTTCTGCCATCTTCTCCACCTCCCATGTGAAGTTGTCGCAGCCCACGTCAATAGACGCCTTTCTGAACATGCGGTCTCCTGCCGAGCCATGATTTGATCCGCCTAACATGAGACTTTTTGTCAGTTGATCCTTGGTCACCAAGTATTGAAGACTGGGAGTGCTCACAGTTGCTCTTGACAAGCTTATCCCATGCACTTCTGCAGACGTCTTCGTCGTCTACCTGGCATTCGTCATCAAGAGGAAGAAATGACAGAAATATGGTGTAATCTTGGTAATTGTCGATATTCTCCGGTGGTGTTCTTCGCACAAAACCTCTTTTCGTCTGTTGCTGGGTTGCCAAGGCGGCCTTCAGGCGAGGGATCTCATTACCACTAATATCATACGGTGTAGGTCCTTGCGGTGCGCCTATATCATTCATTACCCTCTCGCAGAATGTCTTCGAAGTGCTGTCCAGAAAGAACTTGCTGGGAACATTAGTGAGCTCGCCAGGACATTGAATGCTGATCCCGGGCTGCGGAGGCTGCTGGGGCTCTTCTTTGATATTCTTTAACGCATCGAGGACAGCCTGGTCAAAGACGATGTCGGAAATGGTGACTTGGGTAACAATACTTGGGAAGCAACTGCATCCCTTTGTTTTGCCCTTTCATAAGTCAGTATGTCCATGCAATCCGCGGAAAGCTGTCCCGGGAGAGAGAAGAGTGTGCATGCTAAGGCGGACGATTTGACTCACCTCGGAACAAGCCCAATCAACTAATCCTGTAGCCTTAGGATCTTCGATCTTGGAACTGGTGGGCTTACAATCTCCGTCGCATGATGGCTGTGGTTGATCTATCAGTCAGAGATAAGCATCCAGAACGGGCTTGGATATCTTACCGGAGTTCCCGTAGGACAGCTGCTGCTTGAGGTTGAAGTGCTCCTGGTGGATGTTTTGGTCTTGGTGACCCTATGGATGCTCTCCTTTGGGATCTCATTCGCGTTGGGGATTGCCTTGCCGTTTTGAATGTGTCCCCAAACCCAGGCCAAAAACGAGCCGGCTGTGATAGTCGAGCTCCCCCAGACGGCTGCATTCGCCGCTGCTTCGCCGCCTGAAAGAGCTGCACCTAGAGCTTCAGCTTCTTCCTCAGATGAAAAGATGACCGTCTCTTCCACGGCAGACTCAGCTCCACCCTCGGCCTCGCCACCGTCAACCCAGCCGTCCTCGCTTCCTGGGCCACTTTCATATCCCAAGTCGTACTCCTCCGTCAAGACTTGATCTGTGAGAGGACGCGCAAAGCTGTTCCTGAGCTCTGTGTCGGCGGCTACACGTTGTACGTAATCGGCCAAGCCGCAAGCTGGCCCCCCCTGACGCTTGTAGAACACGTTTCGAGGCTTTCTCTTGTGCTTTGCAGCACAGGCAGTTACCTCTTTCGCTATCGCCTCTAGCTTAGCTTTAAGTCCGGGGCTCAGCAAGATGTTGAGACCGCCAGCGGCATTCTTCGACGCAGTGACAGCGTTCGTGACGGTCGCGACTGCTGTCTCTCCCGACCCAACAGACGTGACGGTTGTTATCGCAATGTACTGAGAGTTGTCTCCAATCCACTAGGCGAGTTTCGTGTCAACAAAAGAGTCACAAGAAAGAAATAAGGACGACCTCACCTTTGTTGTGCCTTGTTCCAACGTAAGATATCTCGTGTGGGCCTCTATTTTACCTGGTCTGTATCCAACTTACGAGCACCGGTCAGCTGTTACAGTACAATGAGAGAGATAGGTCAGATAAGGGCATGTCGAAGAAAAGAATACAAATACTATGCAAATTGACGAACGGGATGTCATTTGAACATTCTGATGGGCTGACTTACGTAGGCTCAGCTCCAGGGGGGTTGACTCCAATTTGACCACTCTTAGTCGGCTCAATGGCGGCGACCACGACACTAGCATGAAGCCATTAGCACCTGAATAATGTCAAGGCCAAGAATCGCGAGAACCCCGACTTGTATTCTCTCATTGCCGCGGTTATTCATTTGCTCTACAAAGAAGGAACGAACTACAAGGTGACGGCAGAGGGCCGTGTGAAAGTCAAGGCTCCCTGATTCTTGTTATGGATGTGTCAATCACACAACAGTGGAGTGATGTAGTCATATGGATGCCTGTCGTGGAGACTACGTTGCGCTGCTCAAGGTGAGGGATAGCTTATTGTTCAACGTCTCGTTGATAATGAGCATGGAGAAGGATTCTTGCTAATCGTACGGATGACTATTATGTTAGGTCTAATAGTTTATTTCATACAATTTTGTTACCGTCGTCCCTGTTGTCTCTAGCATCATCTATGCCTACTACCCGCCCGGATAGTAAAGCTCTTCAGAATTTAGTTCCGAGATCTTCTTTGGATGATTTCAGAATAGAACAAACATATCCACATAGAAATAAACCTCCCTTTTCTCTGCAAAGAACTGCACAGTCCTGTCTGCTTGCTTTTCAATTCAGTGAAATAGCAAAGTCCGAAGACAACATGTTGTGCCAAATGGCGAGTCTTTATTGTGGCGGATGAGCTACTTAATGATGTTATAGATATCGCAACATAGCACAAGTCAAAAGACGGCTACCATTCATAAGCATAGCGTTCCCTGCACGTAGCAGACCGCAATTGCCTAGAGTCCAGCCGCAGCCCGAAAGTCCGCAAAACACTCACCGACGGCATATTCCACAACTTGACAGCCGTCGCAGGTCCTAAAATGGTAACTGCGGATGGAGCCGCTGTTGACCCGAGCGTGCCGGAGCATCATCTCGTGTACGTAATGAGCGACAGAGTCAGTAACGGCCTGGCGAGAACCTTAATAGGCGAGGTTTCCTTTGTCCAACTCGGGGCGGAAAGGATAGGTCTTGCAACTCAACTAGGCCCATTCCTCTTTTGAGAATCATCTCGGAAATGGTTGCCGACGGGATGGAAATGGCTCGCTGCTGTTCAACTTGCCACTTTCGTCTGGACATGCCTTTTGTTCTGCATCATTGTCGAGTCAATTGTTGCTGCCCGTCAATACAATTAGGCTATTATCATAGAGTCTATTTATCCAGGGGAAACGGTTTCCAGTTGATGCAAAAGCTCAATGAATTGAGTCTTCGAGCAAGGATGACAATATCGCCTACCCGTCCTCTACGCAACTCAACCTTTCGCTCTCGGTTTCCTACCGTCTGAGCCCATTGGCCGGTAGCCGGCGGGATAGTTTTCAAACCGGTAGTTGGGCAGGGATGCCCTCAACTCCCACCAACTTGGGATCTGCCCCCCAGTTCATCTCATACCTACCCCCCCCACGTTCATCCCAGGATACCCGCATCGGCGTCCCCAGCCCTACGCCCACGACTCAGGCAACATTCGGGTTTTTTAAAGTTCGCGATGGAGGCTTTTCAGATTGCTGAAACTCATGTCAGTTATATTGCTGCTGGCTCATACACTATGTAGGAGGCGGTAAAGGTGGAGCAAATGCGAGTATCCAAGCTGGCCGTAGTCCGGAGACGTGATGCCTACACGGGGCGGATTTAGGGGAAAGTGCCCTTCCATACAATCGGGTACGCGGACATTGAGTTTTCCTAGGCGGACTGCTCCGCCTTGAAGTCTAGCTACTGGTCGGTGGATACCACCGCCGCCGACCTGCGATTTGGCATACGGGGAGTTTGTGTTCGAAGAGATCTGCTGGTGGATAAGAAAGCTATAAGACGGTCCAGTCTCCTCCTATGTTGCTCTCACCCATTCACCCCATCCAATCACCAAGTCTCGTCTCAGCTCAATAAACTTCTACAACGACAAACATCTCCTAAACCAACCGCCAAAATGCAGTTCTCTACCCTCCTCACCGTCTTCGCTTCCGTTGCCGCCGTCAGCGCCATCGCCGCCCCCAAGCCTCTGACCCCGGCCCAGTGCGCTGCCAGCAACCTGAAGCACTGCAACAACTCCAACGAGCCCTGCCCCATCGGCTGCTTCTGCCCGTGAGTTAACCCCTAGAGAGGTCAAGCCTAGAGTTGGAAGACCATGGAAACTGACGCGTTGATAGCGGCGGAAACCTGCCCGAGGGAGGCTGCTGCGCCGGCAGCTGCTAAACGGCTAAGCATCTCCGAGTGGGATGATGGGCGAGAGGATGACGCGGTGACCTGGAATTAGAGGCAGTTTAGTTGCAATACATGCCATTCATCGTGACCAAAACGACGCTCAACCCTCCTCAGCAGTAACAGTTGTGAAGGCAAAACATCATAATGTATTCATCCCTCATACCCAAAGCGCTTCTACAACCCCTTCATAAACTCCCCGAAAGAGATAGATTTCCTGACCGCATTATTCAATCCTTCATGGTACGTTACCCAGACCTTGATATCCTCCTTCGTCTCCTCCCTCTGCTTCTTCCTCTTGGTCCCGTTCGGATCCACTTCACCCAGAGGCCGCGTCGGGATGATCCTCCCGAAAAAGTCCTTCTTCACGCTCTTCTCGAGAGCCTTCTCCTGCTCTTTAATGATGTTCTCCTTGTCCACCTGCACAGGGGCCTCCTCAAGTCCCATGGGGTTGCCCGCTTTGAAGCGCGCCTGTCGCGCGGCCGCCTCGCGGAGAATGACGGTCTTTTGGAGTTCTTGATCGAGGCATTGGCGGACGGCGTAGCGTGTTGGGGCGGAGCTGGAGAGGAGAAGGCCTCCTGCTGTTTCGTATATCGCAAGTGCGTCAAGGTCACTGAGGATACGTTAGTACGAACTTGTACATGAGGGGGCGGATGATGACTTACGGCTCCATGCGGTACACCCACTGAGGCCCCCTGTTCACCAAGCAATCCGTCTCAATCTTGCCCTTTTGCATTTCGATACCGACCTCCGCCATGATCTCCGCGGCGCGTTTGACCATGGCCTTCTCGGTATCCTTTCGTACACTTGCTGTGCTCGTGCCGCTGCCGCCAATCACGACAGGCTTGACGTCTGGTGATACCATGCGAACAAGATACGGTAAGAAGTCTGTCGCGACATCTTCCGGGCTTCGGAACGACCTCCCCAACGTGGGAGTGAGCTGTGCCTGAATGGCCTGTAGCATAGACTTGTTCTCCTTCAATGCTTGGTGGGCAGCATAGTCCGCTTGAGGACCAGAAAATGGCACGGGTGGCTCGTCGTTCTCCTGCGCATCTGCACCCCACTTCTTGTCGTAGCCCATGTTGACTTGATACTTTTTCGACGAGGCAAAGAGAGAGTGGCAGGCAAGAATAGGCTGGCTTAGATATGGCGCCAGCTCCCAGTCCTGGCTGAAAAAGGTTCTTGACGAGCAAGTGTCCAGAAAGTGCATCCAATCGTAAGCTTCGTTGGGCTTGGACAAGAACGAGTCGTCGTTGAATTCGCGGTTGGGGTATTCGAGGAAGATGTCAGTCATAATACGATCGACTTCGCCGCTGGTGTCAACCATGTGTCGCAAACGTTCCATGGCGTTCTTCTTGTGGTACTCGGCAAAACCCAGCTGAGCCTTGGGCTGCTCATGCTTGTGCTTGAGATGCGATGTGCTGTCCAAAGCTTGTTTCGGGAAGCCGCCACCTTCCTGAAAGATGCGTGACACGATGTCTTTCGTGCTTCCTCGTCCAAGACCCCTTGCTCCGCCGGCGCCGTTGGTAAGATCGTGCATAACGTTCTTCTCAAGCCATTGCCTTGTCAACTTGTCGTTGAAGCTCGCAGCAGCCTTGAAACGTCCAGCAACCCACTCACCAACAACCATTACGCCACGAAGATCGCCTTCGGCTCCGCTCTCGGCTCCTCGTTTCGCATCAATACCACTTGTCATACCCCAAGCGGCCTCGCAGATCTTGCGAGCAGCATCTTTCTCACAGGGAACGCCCTCCTTGTCGAAGACCGCCTTCAACCGCGTGACAACAGCATCGATGGTGGGTTTTCCAACATGGATAATCTCAGCCATACCTGACTGTCGGAGAGGTCTCAGTGCCGGAGCGTAGACGTCGTTGCAGATGAGAATAAGCGGTCTCATCAAACGAAAGTCGTCGCCCTTCTTCTTCTTGCGGTTGTTGTTCACAATTCCTGAGCCGTTCTTCTGGTCCAACAACACGAGATCGATGAGGGCTTTGACGAATCCTCCCTCTCCTGAAGCTCCAGCTCCGCCGACTACACCGTCCACCTCATCGACAACCACGCAAGCCGGTTTTGCAACCTTTTGCTGCTGCTCACCATCCTTGGTCTTGACGTTCTCGACCGTCTTGACACTTTCGGTTCCTAGGGAGGTCCGGATGCGGTTCTTGACGACGTCTTTGCTTCGGTCGTCACTGGCATTGATCTCCATCACATCGTATCCTGCTTGCCGCGCGCACACATGCGCCAGCGTTGTCTTTCCAAGACCGGGGGGGCCCGTCAACATGAGAATCTTCTTGTGTGGCTTTTCCTCCTCCTGCTGACCCTGCTTCGCGCCTGGCCGTCTCGAGATGGGCGCCTTCTTTGCGATACCAGGGAAGACGATAGGATCCCATCGCTTGAGCCAGCGCAGGACCATGCGGTTGGTGCCATCGTCACCGCAAAGATCGAGGAAGTTCTTGGCTCTGTACTTCTCGGTCCAGAGCAAAGTCTTCTTCTGAAGCTTGCCGACCACTGGCTCCTCCACTGACCGAACAGGTACATCGTTCTCTTTCCTTTGCGGCTTGGGCTTTTCCGCGGCCTCTTTCTTGGCCTTGTCGATGAGCTCATTGATATCGATACCATAGTATGCGCGCCTCGCCCTCCCTTCCTTCGTCTTAGATCTCGCAGCAACGATGTTCTCGTATGAAGTGTTGGTAGTCGGCTTCCGCTGCTTGATCGTTGTAGAGGCGCCGGTGCAAGTCGTTACTTTGAAGGTTCGCCCGCTCTTGAAAATCGACGGTGTAGAACTCAACAATGTAGATGCAAGGCTTCGAGGCGGTTCGGCGCGAGGAGGCTCTGTTTCTGTGGGAGCGCTGTTGTTCTGTTTCGCGGGTGCCGGCGCTGATGGCTCGAGAATCTCTTCGTCAGGGGTGAGTGTAACAGGGGCTGGTCGTTGACTGCGCGATCCAAAGTCAAGGATCTGCTTCTTCAATGGTGGCTGCTGGGCGTCATTGTCGGAATCAGAATCATCGTCAAGCAGAAATCCGCTCTTGACCTTCGGCTTGGATTTTGTCGGGTCGGCCGCTGCTGGGCGCGCGCGCTTCCCTGCGGGTGGTGAGGAGCTGGCAGGAAATGTGATGGGCGATGAAGCACTCGGCATTTTGGGTACTTGTTTGCTAAGACGAGATCTGGTCCGAGGCTATCTTCGTGGCGACGTCCAAGGCTGCTTCGACTTGCAATTGCAGAAAGTGTGTCGCTGCAGTGACAAGCCAGGTGGGATGGGAGACGCGCGACGGGACGCGCTTCGTCCTGAACGCATTGAGTGCGAGTGGGTCCGCCTCTATACTGTGCTAATTGAGTGAGATGAGTTTAGCGCACTGTATCTTACAGACTGATGACGTGAAGGGATGCTCAACGCCAGCCTTGAGAGCAGTTGCGGTGAGCCCAGTTGATGTTTTGAAGACGACATTTGAAATTAAATTGTGTACCAATACTTTCCAATGCTTCTTATCAACTTGCATCAAAGAGGCGTAAATGCAGATTGCAGTCTGCAAGTGAGAAATCCCATGTGATCTCACAACCGGCACCTCATGGCCCGTTAAATTCACAGCCAACATAGACAAATGCGTACACTTTCTCTTATCCTTCATCCTACGTTCTAACCAGACATATTTCAATTCTACCTCTCACCAGCAGCTTCCATCTCCTTCAACAAGCCCCGGTACAAGTCAGCCTCCGCAACCATCTCCTCCATGCTTCTCGCCTTCCTCATCGCATCCTCAATCCTCGCAAACTTGCCCCCGGGCTCGGGTCTCATCCCAATTTCAGCGTCCCACAGCGCACCCCCGATGTTGCCCTCCTCGCTCGCCATCTGCTCGTAAATCTCATCCCTCGGCCCTGAGTCGTCTTTCGCTGTCTCGCCGGGTACGCGCGGGATAATGTGTACGTGAACATGTGAAACCGTCTGGCCCGCGTCCGCGCCGTCCTGCACGGCTATGTTGAAGGAGCCTGCCTCCGGGGCAGCCGGCGTGCCTGACGAGGAAGGGAAATAGCGGCGCGCGAGCATTTTTTGCACGAGCTGCGTCGTGGTGAAGAGGTCTGTTACTTCCGCTGGCGGGAGGTCTGTGAGGCGCTTGTGAGGCTTGAGAGGGCAGATGAGGACGTGGCCTGGAAGCAAAGGCTTGAGGTTGACGAGGGCGAAGGAGTGGGCTGTCTTGTAGAAGACCTGTGTCATGTTAGCCATTATTCTTGATGTTTCCGTGTTGAGTTCTGGATAGCGGGTTGAAGCAGGCAGGTGACGATGAGCGGCAGCTGTTTTGAACTACAATGGCAAGATGCGCAATCCAGACGCTCCAATGCCCATCTCATACGGCCGTTCAATGACCGAGATCTTCTTCGAGACTAACCTGCCCAGTGACCTCAAAGGGCCCGAAATGAATCTTTTCTTGGGAGCTCATTGTTCGTCGGGAAATAGTAATATGAGCTCTGGGTAAGTTGTAAAATATTCTTGAGCTGAACATGGTCCTCTGTGAGTTAGGTGTGAGCTGCAGCTGGAACATGGGTAAGGAGAGACGACCCTCCGGAGATCGTCTGGTTTGGTGGAGTAACTTCAGCCAGGGAAATTGTTAGTGGCACACTCGAAGTGTGGTGGCGTCATCAACATGGATTCAACCGCCCGGCAACAATTGAGTAGACATCTTTTATGGGACGGATTGCGACCAGAGTTGAACTTGTTTTTATTCCTGCCCCCGCCAGTATTGCATTTTGACCCTAACAGATCCCGGTTGCTATAAAAGTACATGATTACAGTCTCCCGCCGTGGTTTAAGATGATATTTCCTATTGCGCCAGTACCTTCTCCTGAGCTCCAAACAGCTTCGTCTGTTGACCCGCAAAGAACTTCTTTGACTCAGCACAACGTTCGCTCTTGCACCCGGGGCAGCGAAGCTCCATCTGTGGTGAGCAGGAAATGCCGCTGTCAAGGTGAGCCTTGGCGATATCAGCCAGAGCCTTGATGAAGACAGGGCTGCCATTCAAACTCTCAACGCGCTTCACAGTCTCGGGGCTTCCTGAATCTCCGATAACCTCCAGGTCGAGCTCATACAGAGTCTCAATGTGATCGGAGGTGAACGCAATAGGGATCAGGACCAAGTCCTTCTGGCCCTTGTGGATGTAGTTCTCGACCGAATCAGAAGTCTGGGGGCCGAGCCATGCGGACGGGCCGACTTGCGATTGCCAGCAAAGGCGGTAGGGGTTGGAGAACTTGAGGCGCTGCATGACAGCGTAGACAGTAGCAGCAACCTCGGCCGGGTACGGGTCTCCTCTGTTCACCACAGACATGGGCAAGCTGTGTGCTGAGAACAGCAAGACGACGTCCTTCCGCCTCTCCTCGGGGTACTCCAGGAGCTTGGCCTCGATGTTTTGCGCAAAAGCCTCCACCAGGCCCGGATGTACCGGCCACCTGTCAATAACACTCCAAGAGATCGTGCCGTCGCCCGGCGTCGCGTCCGTGGCTGACTTGCCCTCCAACCTTTGCCGCCACTTCCACAGCTCATTCATGCTGCTTCCCGTCGTCGAACACGAGTATTGCGGGTATTGTGTGAAGGCTACAGCTCTCCCGCCCTTTCCGTTTCCGAAACCATCATCCAGCAGCTTGTTGTACATCTCCTCGGTCAGGGGATCGGCGTAACGGAACGCAACGTAAGGCTTGTGCGGTGCGGTCTCGGGAGAGATCTGGTCGAGGATCTTGCACATCTCTGCGCTCTGGTACTCGGACCATTTGCGGATGGGGGAACCCCCACCGATTTCTGCGTACTGCTTCTGGATCTTGGGAGTTCGTCGCTTCGAGATGAAGGGGCCGAGGTAGTTCTGGTAGCGTCCGAGAGGAATCAAGTCTCCATCTGCCTGCGCATTGTCAGCGTGCGGAGCGTCTGGGGGTTCGTGGAGGGGCATACGAAGAGTCTGCTCAGGAAGTCGCCCACTTCGTCTGTCGTTGAAGGGCCACCCATGTTCAGGAATACCATGGCCGTCGGACCCTTGGAACCGGCGGAGTTTTGTGTAACGGGCGGAACGGTCGCCATAGACCTCAATTGAGGTGCTGATTGCTTCGGCAGAGCCAAAGCTAGAGGTGCGGCGCCATTGCGCGCTGAAGTCGTCGCCTTAGACAAGCTCCTGGAGAGCTGTCCTGTTGAGTACTTGAACGCCATTGCTCTACAACGACGATGTACGAAAAGATAGTGTACAAAGAGGGAACACAAGAAACGGTCGGTAAGTGGTGATGGTTCAGAGTGGTCTAAGAAAACATAGCTGTGGCAATCGTGGACCCTGGCGATGTGTGGGCGATGCTGGACGAGGCCATGTGGATTTCGGCTTCGATGACGAAGGAAATCCCGATCTGGACAGGAGCCCACCGAATGCCGAGCAGCACCCCTGCAAGACCGAGCTCATACAGAGATACCTTATCGGAAGCCCATGTCACTGCAAACTTTAAGGTACTTATTTAACCTGCCTCGGTTTCGGCCAATAGCACGCTGCGTAATCCGAAATATAGATCACGTGGTCGCGCGCTCGCACGCGGGTACCTGCGAGCTTCGCTAGAGAGGTCCGCGCCAGAACAGCTGCCCCTGTCGCGTCTGCTGCCTGGAGCTGCCTGTTGCGCTGAAGGGCCCAACCGAGTTCGCGACTACATGAAATAGCTGTCGCCCGCCGCGACCAACAACGCCAAAACTAACACCGAGTCACACAGATCCTCGCAATGGCTGATCGCGAAGACTACAAGAGAGAGGAGGATGACGATGCGGAGGAGGAGCTCGATGAGACTGTACGAACCCACATCTGAGAGCCATGACTTACAGCTGACCCCTCTCAGGACTACAAGGCACAAAAGGACGCTGTCCTTCTGGCCATTGATGTGAGCTCGTCAATGCTGCAGCCGCCTCCAGCATCAAACTCCAAAAAGGCAGACAAGGACAGCGCCGTCCAGGCCGCGCTGAAATGCGCCTATCAGCTTATGCAGCAGCGCATCATCTCCAACCCCAAGGACATGATGGGCATCCTCTTCTTCGGCACCGAAAAGTCCAAGTTCCAGGAGGAAAGCGGTCGCAGTGGCCTGGGCTATCCCCACTGCTATCTCTTCACTGACCTAGACGTCCCCGCAGCGGAGGACGTCAAGGCGCTGAAGACATTAGTGGGGGTCGACGGGGAGGAGGGAGAAGACGAAGATGAGGTGTTGGTGCCAGCCAAGGAGAGCGTCCAGATGGCGAATGTCTTCTTCTGCGCAAACCAGATTTTCACAACTAAGGCGGCGAACTTCGGAAGCAGGAGGTTGTTCATCATCACCGACAACGACAGTCCTCACGGCGATGACAAGGCGGCCAAGTCCGCTTCTGCCGTGCGCGCAAAGGATCTGTACGACCTTGGTGTTATCATCGAGTTGTTCCCTATCACCAGGGACGACAAGAAGTTCGACCTCGCCAGGTTCTACGATGTAAGCAGTTCGCACTCTCCTTGGTGTTCCGGCCTAATAGTGACAGGATATAATCTATCGTGACCAAACAGCAGAGGCAAATCTTTCAGAGATCCGCAACTCGAGATCAGGAGACGGCATCACTCTTCTCAACTCCCTAATCTCAAATATCAACTCCAAGGAGACCCCCAAGCGCTCCCTCTTCTCCAATCTCCCCTTCGAGATCGCCCCAGGGCTGCGCATCTCCGTCAAGGGCTACAACATCCTCCACCGCCAAACACCCGCCAGAACATCCTACATCTGGCTTGACGGCGAGAAGCCCCAGCTCGCCACAGGCGAAACAACTCGAATTGCAGAGGATAGTGCCCGCACAGTCGAGAAGCCCGAGTTCAAAAAGGCCTACAAATTTGGCGGCGAGTACGTCCACTTCACCACCGAGGAGCAAAAGTCCCTCAAGGACTTTGGTACCCCCATAATCCGCATCATCGGCTTCAAGCCGCGGTCCATGCTCCCATTTTGGGCCAGCGTCAAGAAGTCAACTTTCATCTTCCCTTCCGAGGAGGATTACGTCGGCTCGACCCGCGTCTTCACTGCCCTCTGGCAGAAGCTGCTCAAGTCCAAAAAGATTGGAGTCGCATGGGCTATCACTCGCTCCAACGCGAACCCGATTCTCGTTGCCATCATTCCCTCCCACGAGCAATCCGAAGACGACTCCACCACGCCCTACCTACCCGCAGGCCTCTGGCTGACACCTCTCCCCTTTGCCGATGACCTCCGCGAAGGCCCTGAGCCGCCCGCCGACCTCGTCCGCAGCACCAACGAGCTCACCGACCAAATGCGCGTCATCGTTCAACAGCTGCAGCTGCCCAAAGCCATGTACAACCCCAAGAAGTACCCGAATCCTTCACTGCAGTGGCACTACAAGATCCTCCAGGTCCTCGCGCTCGAGGAGGAGTACCCCGAGAAAGCGGAAGATCTGACGGAGCCCAAGTACAAGGCCATCAGTAAGCGCGCCGGCGGATACCTCGAAGAGTGGGCTGAGACGCTGCAGGCGGAAGCCAAGAATGTGATGGCTAAGCAGGCTATCAAGCGAGATGCGGAAGACGATGACGACGGCAGGCCGGCAAAGAGGGCGAAGGCGGCGCCGAAGGCCAAGGTCTCTGGATCGGGAATGACCACGGCGCAGCTCAAGGCCGCTGCTGATGCAGACACTCTGGGCAAAATGCTCGTTGCAGACCTGAAGGATGTCCTTGCTGCGAGAGGCTTGAGCACGGCCGGAAAGAAGGCAGAACTTGTCGAGAGGCTTGAGGAGTGGATTGAGAGCAATGCTTGATATGTCGAACGGATGAAATGGGCTGTACAATATCAAATGGCGTTGTCTGGCGCGTCTCGTGTATGAAAAGGGCTACCAAGACTTAGTATCGTTAGCCTAGCTACGGAATTTCTTTTCTTCGCTTCATCACCTTCGCACATTGCATGTTCACAAGTGTGGGTACAAACCATGCGAATGCCTGCCATCTTGATCAAGCAGCATGCAGTACCATCCGACCCAGATATCGACCTCGTCCTACCTGTGATAGCTCCTCAATCTGTTCTCCATGCTCTTCTTCTCTTCCGGACAATGCCGGAAATGTCAACCGGGCCCAGACTTAGGCTCATTCGACCATGGGAGAGGCAGTACAAAACGTGAGTTGGTCGGTGTTCCTTCTATTCGTTTATTATCCTCGGTGCTGAGTCACTCTTCAGATTCCCTCCTAGAATCTTCACCAGCTTCATGCCAATCTGGCAGCATTTGCAACCTCTTTGCGGGGTCTTCAGGCTGTGGGAGACAGATGGCGGCTGGCCTTCCGAGCTCTTGCCTGGGCAGGAGGCGCCCCTTCCCCAGCAACCTATATAAGCCCCTTCCCTGCCACACCTTCAAACAATTCAGCAGGCCTTGCCGGGCTGGGCACAAGCTGCCCTAGCTTACAAAACCTAAAAAAAGAGGCTATGGTCTAGCTGGTCAGCGAGTGAGGTACCTACCTTAACGTTTAAGAAGAACGGGGACCAGTGCTCGTTCGCCTTGGGGCGCTCAGTTCGAGTCTGATTTGGTCGAAAGGCCCAGTGAAAAGTGAATTGAGGATATTACTTTTTTGCGTTCCGCTATCGCTTTCGTCGAAGTTTGACTCATTTTCTGTTCAACTGGATTTGCGTTTTTAGTTGTTTCCCTTCGTCCTCTGCTTTTCTTTCCTGCGCTGTCTCTTTAGACGCTTACAGCTGGAAGTCTTAAGTCAGTCTGTTTTCTAGTAAATTAGATTATATTATTAATCTCATGATGATCAGGCTGATCGAGGTGTCGGTCCTAGTGCAGAGTCTGCGTGATCGTGAGACCTCCAGATGTGGAAGGTACACAGTGGCCTCCTATCCAATCGTGCCTGTTGAAAGGCGCCCCTTCCCTATTGTCCTTTATTACCCCCTCCCCTTCCCAACTTCCTAACATTGAGGCAGACTGCAGAGCTAGGCGATTAAGTTGTCAAAAACAAAGTTGGCTGGCCGATGGTCTAGCTGGTGAGCCAGTCTTCCCCTATTCCGATATGGATTGTACTTGCTGCGCCTAGAGGCGCTCAGGTTGATTCCGGAAAGGTGTCAAGAGCCCATGGTGAGAGATCCTGGTTGGATGAGGGCATTTCCTTGTGCGAGCATCGTATTCTGGTTGCATCTGCGCCTCTGGCTACGGTTCGTTTAAGTATCTTTGTAGCGTCTTCCTTCCCGATCCTTCCTAGCGCCCCTTCCTCCCCGACGTCCTTTCTCCCTCCGCGTTCGTTCTTTCCAATTCACAGGTACGTCGTAGCTATTTAGCCGCTTGCCATTCCAAGTCGGAAAAAGCAACTGCAACAACGCCAGTTGGTCAGTAAGGAGTGTGGCCAACATCGTCCCGCCTTGCTCGCGTCAAGCGCTCAGTTCGAATCTGGCAGTTGAAAAGCCCAGCGCAATTGAGGACAATCGTTTTGTTTTTCTCTTTTCTAAGGGCCCTCTCTCTTTTTCTTCTTACCTCCGGTGTCTATAGGTCTGGCAAAAGTCTCCCATTGTTTTGGTCAACTTGCGTGAGCTCTTGGCAATTCAATACGCTGTTTCGCTCGTATAGAGGCATGCTGTGTAAAAGGGATGCCGTATGGCTCGTCACATGTCGCGGTATTCTCCTTGTGCCACTCATGGGAAACGATTATGAGACAACCAGATAGTTCGAGAGGGCAAAGGGGCCAAAGATCGACCCTACGCTCCGCTTCGCCAGAGGTCGCCAGGGGCCAGGACTCAGGATTGGAGATGTTCTCCGCGGAGATTTGGTTAATGGTCATACCCATGAAGCCTTCCTCCGTCGTCGTCATGCGGGATAATGGCTGCAAAGCTGAGTACCTACGTACTTATCCTCAATAATTGACTCTTAATACTTCAAAAAGGTGCCTCCAGAAAAGTGACACGGAGACGGAACTTCCGATAGGCGCCGCCCGCCGTCACTTGCGTAGCTGTGATCTCGCTGACTCACGAACATGTGCTGGACGGGGAAACTTTCCAGAAGCGCTACTGTGTTCGTAAATTCGTGCGGGAGCCAGCGCTTCCTCCGGAAAGGTGCAGAGTAGGAGCAAGTCGCGATGACCCGCTTCGAGCCTAAGACGATTCGATCTGCTGGCGAAGTGTAGGAGTTGTGTTGCGAAATCTGGTGGTTTCAGGACAGCAGGATACCTGTGTAAATGGACTTGAAGTCGTCCTTGGAAACATGGTTGGATGACGATTTTCTTATGGTCGCCCACGTCCAGAACCACTCCCTCAGTCAAAAAAGTCAATTTCGTTTCTTGCGTGTTGAGGTCTTGCTACTAACATTGCTCACATCTCTATGATGAACCATGAAGAAATGGATGTTGCGATGAACCTGCAGTCATCATGCGATTTCTTGACAGAACTGTACTGTGGTATCTACGTAATGCGCACGCTTCAATGAAGTGGTCAACCTATTTAAAATGGATGCCTACTAACGTCGAATGCTGCCATTCTTCTGTTTCGGCTGCAAGGAAATAAGTTGACCCTCTCTTTGAGTGCCAAGCCTCCCAGGTAATTTTCGCTCAAGGGAAATTTGAAGTGTTTGGCTTGTGTAACACACCATCACCTCACTTTGATTCTCAATCAATCTGTCATTTGCCGTCACTGTCATTCTTCCACTCGTTATTATTCAGCTGACGTGAATACTGGGTATGTCTCGAAGCCGGGACCATGCTTCAATATCTCTCCATCCCAGTCATATTCAACACGAGAGTAGTGACACATATCGGGGACTGTAGCACATAATATCTTTTGAGAACTCTCGTCATTCTTAGTCTTTCTCAAGTATCTTGTGAGGATTAAGCAAGAAAAGACAGTCTAGACCGGTACAGAACGTGGCAATGTGTATGTTCTGTATTATCACATCAGCAATCGTTCTCACCTGTCATGTGATTACTTTGAAGCTTGGGTTTCAAGTAAAGCCGATGTTTCAACACTCGCGATTCATTTGGCGGTGTCGGGGGATAAACACTCAATTCTTCCTGAGACTATTTATATCTACCTCTGTAGACCTTCTTCTCTTACACATGACGAGCTTTTGAATCAAGACCCCGACATTGAGGACCAAAACCTTTACCAATCGCACGGTCATGCTTGCGATCTGGATTAATCCAGATGTGTCTATTTGCAATACACTATATATGGCCTTTCAAGACACGATCTGTAAAAGCAAAATGCATGAGCCTTCTCTCGGGTTCAGTCATGGACCTAGTTGTTTCCTGACACGCCTCGGCATCAACCCTGCCATTATCAGAAGCACCCGTAAAATTCATCAGGAGGTCACCTGCTTAAGTACTCATCTTCGTTATTCATCACTTCGTAGGTATTAATGAGAATACTGAGAGGAGGACACATTCGCTCTAAGATTGCGGTAGGGATGAGATTTCTATCTGCGCCTGGTGTAAGCTGGTGTCGTCCCCTTCTCAGCATTTTTCAAGATGGAGTGCGTCTCTGGAGTATCATTTGCTAATGAATAGAAGTCTGGGCTGACCGCACTTCTTTCTGCTGACGACTTGTTCGTCCTTTTGCCTCGGCAATGTTTAGTGTCATAGCCTTTGCAGTGCCTTGAAATTCTAGGTATAAATTCGAATGGTATGAGCGATCTCTAAACGGAGTAGCCAGCAACAATACGATCACTAGTGTCCGTCTGACGCTAAGACGACCATAACCTTGCAGGTCTTCATGCTTCTCACTTACGTACTGTAACTCAAACCTCGGGTGAACCACACCTAGCCCCGTCATTTGACTCTCCTGTCCGCTGCGTATATTCACTAATAATCTCACAGAAAAGACGTCACAAAGTCTATGATGCGTATTTGCAAACAAGCAGACCGCACTCGCTCAGTCCTTGCTGTAGCAAGCGCGGTTAGCCTTCAATTGAGAGAGACAACCTCAAATTGTGGCACTATGAGACAGAATTAAGAATCAAATCCCAGCTCCAGCCGGCTTCGTTTTGCATTTAAGCACACCAAAGACTCCGCCCCCCGATTCGCTTGTCTAAATACAAGCTATTAAAAGAAACTCTGCTCTTCTCAGCCTTTCCATTCTCGCAAGACCGCATTACAGTTACATGCGGTATTCTACCTCTTTAATTCTTGTCACCAGCAGAGATTAAGTGACACAAGACGAATTAGTCCTAATTGCGCCCGAAGGAGTGAACCACTTCATGGGACAACACCAGTGTCTTCTTCCATCACTTCCCTCTGCAATGTATTCCAACGAGAATCGTATTGTGTACTGTCAGCGCCACAGCCTGTGTCTATCACAAAAGACCGAAGTAATGAGGGAAAAGCCCAACAATCCATGGTAACTGTAGTGATGCATATTAGGAGCATAAGGTGGGACTCGAGACTCTAATGCACCTTGTCACGTACATTGACGCTCAAGACTCCTCAGCCATCCAGGCCCTACCCTATAAAGTATAAGCGTCTCAGTCTCAAAGTGGCAACAAGAACACAAAGTTAAAGCAAGAAATAGTGGCCAGAATAGTTGAGGGGCCTGATCATACCAAGCTCAAATACATATTTAACGCCCAGCCAGGAAGACGCTTTGGTCTAGGTCAGTGACCTGACAATATCGGTAACGTTCTGGACTCCAATTTAGCGGCAAGGTTGATGTCTGCAATTTGAATTGCTACGCATGAACTGCTAGCATATGTGATGTGCCTACGAACAATTTTTAACCCGCGTCATCACTGCTTCTCTCTCTGTCACTTCCCCTGGCATATTGCTTGTGAATCAGCACTAAGGGCTTGGCCGT